AGTAAGATTATCTGAAAAACTATGAGACACTGGAGGCAAAGAGGGCATTGATGGGCTCAGCTTGATCCATTAGAAAGTGTAGGATATAGAAAGAACAACTTGAGCGAGGTTATAAAAGTGAGAGATGAAGGGAGGGTGGGCACTTTCATGTCCCTTTGTTTTCTCTGAAGAAAATGTGTTTCACTGCATTCTATCATGAACACTCAATTTTCTCTTTTGGTCTTATTATTTCCCACTTCCTTCACATCCTATACTCAGAAATCCTCTTCTGTTCCATTGCTGATTTAGTAATATGAAGTATCCTTTTGGGACATGCTATTCCAACCCACTACTCTGGTGACTTACAAGAATAGTTTGAACAACAGCTTTCTTCTTTATCATTCTTCAGTTACCATTTGGGACTTAAAAATACAAATTCATCCACCCTTGGAATTGAACCACTGTGCTCTCTGGCTCTTCCTTTTAGCCTTTTCAGGTAATCTCCCCAGTCTATCATTTGCCTGGTCATCACTTTAGCCAGTCTGACCTCAGCACCCTGTGAGGAAGACAGAATCAGACATAAGTCAGACTAAGTTCTTCACTCACACTTACTTCTATCTTAAACCTTTGAACCTTGGCCTAGAGTGTACAATGGTATATAAACAAGAATTAAAATGTGTGGATCAGGCTATAAATTCTTCAAGAATTTTTAAAATGGGGAATCAACTACAGAAGAAAATAGCTGGAGAAGGTGTTAAAGGGAAGGTAAGACTTTAGCCTGGTTTAGTATCTCTCTCTTTCCTCCTCAACCCAACAAAAGTCCCCATCTCTGCAATTTACTAGTTGTGTTCCCTGAAACAAGTTGCTATATTTCTCTGAGCCTCAGTTTTTTCCAGTCACCTGAGGGTAATAACACCCTTCAGATTGACTGTGAAGATTAAGGACAATTTATGAAAGTTAATCATTGCAATAACTGATATATGTTAGATGCTAACAAATATGATGTAATTATTTCGATAAGCTCTGTAAAAGTTGGAAAAACGTCCTCTATGTCTGAATCTCGTACAGCACATGTTAAAATGCACTGGAGTTTGTAGGTCTTGTTGAGAGGGTAAATTAACATTTATGACCCTTCTTTGTAGTTACTACACCAATCCCTGGGAGGTAAGAAAATGCTTCAACAACATCTTGCATAGCAGTCAGAGTGGGGAGGACCTTTCTGAGAAAAGGCCTTTTACAGTTTATGAGATAAAAAGGTAAAGTACACATAACCTGCTAATGGCTATCGATGCCATAAACAAGAGAAAAAAAATTAATGCCCTCTAAAAAGGATCTGTGGGAACCTTTTGGTAGTCCTTTGCTCACCAAGAATGTCAGACTGCCGGGATATAGCAGTTAAATTTTTAAGAGATCAGTCATCTAATCCCAAACTTTTAATTGACAGTAAACAAACAGAGAAACAGAAGTAAAAGCAAAGTTCTACTGGACTCAGTGAGAAACATTCTTCCTTCCTAAAAGTCATAAGACTATTGTGCAACTAGGAGGGAAGAATTGTATTAAATACCAGTTGCTACAATCCTATGCACATATTAAAAATAAAGAGTAGACAATTATGAATATGTCTTAAACCAGTAATAATATTAGTGAACATTTTCAGATTCATGCTATTTCATGTTCAAGTTCAGGGCCAAGAACTTTATGCACGTTTCATTTTATTCTCCCATCAGCTCTATGAGGTATCTTATTATTTGATTTCACAGATGACAAAACTGAGGTTCCGGAGTTTCATTAAGTTGTCCAAGATCACATGGCAAGTTAGATAGAGCAAGAATTTGAATTCAAGCTTGCCTCGCTCCAAATCATACTTTTTAAAAAAATGAAATATTTCAAACTTTCAGAAAAGTAGAGACTGACCTATCAAATACCAGTAAAACTACCACTAAACGTTACTGAATTATTTGTGAGATAGTGCTATGCTGACTTCAAATGTTCCTGTAAAACAAAAGGTGATGGATAGAGTGGAAACACTCTATATACCGCTTTCTACCCCCAATTCTCCATTCCCTTCCAAGACAAAACTACTATCCTGACTTAGTATTTACTTTTCACCACCATATTTTTACAGTATTACTACCAATGTAAATATCTATAAACAATAACATTATTCTGCATGTATTTCAACTTACATAAATTTTATCATGCTTTTGTGTCATTCTGCAAACTGGTTTTGTCAGCTAACATTGCGTTCCACTGTATGCATGTACAGTAATGTATTTGTCATTTTTCTGTGTTTTAGGTTGCTGCCAAAATTTGGCTATTTACAAATAATGTTACAAAGAGCATTTCTATACTAGTCTTTTTAGGCATGTGTGTAAAAGTTTTTCTGGAGTACATGCCTGGAGTTTTCATTTTTCCATTTTCCTCCACCAGGCCTCTGCAGTCTGTGTCAATTCCTGACATGATGTTGGAATACCAGGATCTTGGATGTGAGATAAAGGTACAGGATTGTGAAGTCACTCAGAAGAGGAATTTTAACTTGCAGTTAACACAGTGGATCTTGGGCAAAAGGTGAAAACAGATTGGTCTCTCCTTTGGCCTGATCAACTGACAAACTAATTTCAAGCTGGACTTGGGGATGTTGGTAGAGGGAAGTAACAGGAATGGTTCAAGTGAAACAAAAACACTTGGAAAATGTTGTTTGGTGCTTTAAGTAAATGTTTTATAAACTGTGTATCCAGGGACCCCAGGTTTCCCATTGAACCTCCTCAAGGGACACCTGGGGATGCTGTCGAGGAGACAGGCAAAGGGCCGGGTCACCCCACACTGAAGCACCTTTACTTTAACTATTTTATACATTTTTCTGTGTAAGAATTTTATGTAAATTTTGTTTCAATAGACACTTTGTAGTGCAATGGCTTTTAAAATTCATATAAATATACAGGAAGACAAGTGACTAATGAGAGATACGTACTTATAAGATTCCCCAACTGGATATAGTTATGCCCCAAATTCTCTTTCATTCAGTGTTATGGGCAAAGAACTGAGTGCATTGTGTTCAGCAGTGCTGGTAGCAGTAACCCATTATGTAAACCATGTTTCTTTTGGTTTGCAGGCCAACACTCAATCCACTGAGCCACACCAGCCAGGGCTGCAAACCATGTTTCTGATAACACACCAATTAAGGATATAAATAGGTTAATAATAGTAGTAATAGTACTTGGTTGACTGTTTATTATCCTAGGAGCACCTTTATGTGGCGGTGACTTAAGAGAATAATAACAAGTAATTTAGCTTCTTGTTTTCAGTGAAGAACGGGAAGACTGAAGCTGGGGAATCAAGTGGGACCCAGATCAGGAGGTGGCCTTGTAAACTAAGTGAAATCATTTTGGCTCAATCCTGAGGGTAGAATTGAGATAACATTAACAGGAAGGCCAGGTGACCACCAAAGTTTCTGCCAGACTTCCCGTCTCTTCTTTTAGAGATGCAGATTTGTATAAAAGCCAAAAACTCCCCAAAGGTAGAGTTTAAAATGTAAAGAAGAATCCACCTCTGAGCCATGTTTAAAAGGCAGATAAAACCTTCAGTTAAACACCATTGAGAATCTGTAAATTGTTGAACTTTGGTTCTATTAAGGACCTTTGAGATCCATCATTTTTTGAAAAGTTTTTTACCAGGAAAACCAATATCATTTATCAATATTGACTTTATAATACAAGCAAATAAACTTGAGCTTAACATACAAATATTATCCATGATAATTTGAATGTTCTCACTTTCTCCTAATATCTTTCCCGAAAATGATAGCAAGAGTACTTTGTTTGTTTTAACTTGACCCATCTTTCACAACCCAGTTTAATCATTTTACAGGTTTTCTTTTGAAACAAATGGGCTAGATGGTGGGACAATGGTGGCATACTTTTACCATTTTAATAACATATGCAAAAGATACCTTTAGTAAAATTTGTACATCAAATTTCCTTTGTGTGTCTCTTTTTCCTAATGAACTCAGTACTAAAGTATTGGGAAAATAAAAACTTATAAATTCAAAGCAAGGGATGCCAATGTGACCATAAAACATCTGAATTATAGAATAATATTTAGAGAAATATGTTTTGTTATTTTAAAATAGGGTACTTATTATGTACTAAGGTAGAAATGAGTGCTACTAAAAGGAAGGTAGTAAATAAAAAGTTTTCTAGTAAACATAAAACATCATAAAATCTTAAAGATAAAATTGTATTTTATTTTAAATTAATTACTAGACACATTTGTTACAAAAGGTTTTGTTTTTCTTGAGCTCTTACATTAAGATCCTCACTGAAAGGTATGAGTTTATTTTTTAGAAAAGAAAGATATTCTGTGTCTGAATGGATATAAATTTTGTGTCTGTGGTGTATGAATTAATAGATATTAGAAGATATCCATTCCCTACTAAATACTAAAATATTTGACTGGTTACTTACTTCCTAAAGAATGATGCTGGCATGCTGAACATGGCATTTTCATTGCCTGTCACAATCTTTCCTCCACCTAATCAGTTTCTTCTCTAGGCTGGGATAGGCCAAGGAGCTATTCCATAGATCTCCTTTGCATATTCAGCTTGCCCTTAGGCCATTTCCAATGCCAGCAACCCTATTGCTCAGGATTTCTCTAGAAAGACCACCTAGTAAGTCCTATCTAAACCAAATGCTGACAGACAATATACGGTCAGGGTAGTTGCCCTGGTCAAAAGAGGAAAGACCAAAGGCAATGAGTCTTACTGGTTTCTAGCTTTAAGCTACTCATTGTAGTGCTAAACTTCCATTTTAGAATCCCTTTATTTATATTAACTAGAAGAAATCCTCTAGTAAATCCCTATACAACATTTCCTATCTCTATACCTGGGTTTTAGGTATAGGTATTGTTTCAGTTCTGATTTTATTTTTTCTACTTAGAAATCCCTCTTTCTGACATTAATAATTAACCAGTAAACTAATTTACTCAAATTCTTTAAGCTCGGCTTATGTAAAAGGAGAGTAACTTCAAAAAGATTGTACACTTGGTTTACTGCTGTCTCCAGCCATGGGCCTTTGGGGCATACTTTGTTTTTTAATCTTCCTGGGGAAAAGTTGGGGACAGGAACAAACGTAAGTAAAGGAACCTATGTTCATTTTTCAATGCATCCTAGTCATAATGAATGAAAAGTAAATTCAGTTGACTGTGTTAATTTGAAACTTACTTTCTACTTCTGAGAATACCAAGTGAATAGTCTCATCTCCGAAGGAGAAAGTGATGGAAGTATTTTGATTTGATGAATAGCTAACAGCATGACAGCTTATATGGAATTGCTATTTTTTTTAATTACATTAAATGATTATTCAAATTTCTTCTCTGAAAAAGCACAAAATGAACTCTAGACTATAAATGTTCTTGTCATTTATTCCTTATTTATATTTAGTGCATCATTTTCTTTGTATTTTCTATATTCTGTACATAGTAAAGCAAGGGTTACTTGGAGGTTAATTCTAATATAGTGATTTGAAAAACTATCATATAATTACTTTTCTATTTATGAGCTCATTCTTCACAATGTTTAGTAGTATTTTTAAAATACTGTGCATTTTAAATTGAGTCTCAAAATAGTGATCTCATATCTAGAAATAACATTATTACCAGACAGGCACTGGCCTGGAGTAGGTCTGCCTCAGGCTGGCCTATGCTGTGTGGGTTCTTGACTTTGAGTAGGAAAGATTTCACAACACGAGTCCAGGTGATTTTGAGAATACATTTACTAAGGCTGGAGACAATGAAACAAAGGAAAGACTTAGGGTAGAAGAAGTAACAGGACAGAGCCTGGGCAGTGCTCTTCTGGCTCTCTAGAAAGGTTATAGGAAAGGAGTGAGCCAAAGGGGTGTTCTGCGGTTGGCTCACTTGAGAGTCAGAAAAAGGGGGCCCTGGAGACAGGATTAGGGGGCAAGCCCGGGTCAAACTGCTGCTGCCTGCTGCTCCCCCAGCTGAAAGTCTCCTTAGAATTTAGAAAGGAATAAAATGTTTGTGCCTGGGAAGGGATTTGGGCGTGCTCTAGGGTGAGCCTGTGCCACGTCTTCGTTCTGAGGGCTTTTTGTCTTTTTTTATGCTGGTAAGAATCTTAGGGGAGGGTTTTAGCAGGATTACTCAATAGTTTTCCAGTTGCATTTTGTAAGTATGCTGATGCATCAAAATGATCACAGGGGTTTTGGGAATATTCTTTCGTCCATTATACTTTTATACTTTTATATTGGGTCTGTCCAGCTTTTAATGGTGTTTTCTGTTATTCGTTTCCCTGACTTCATTTGTCCTTGGCACAAACAACATTAATTGGCTCTTTGTTCTTTGTTTCCCAGGCAAGGAAGTTTAAGCTATGTATCTTTGATTAGGCAGGAGAGGCAAAAACCATTCACTCTTAAGTGTTCTTGGTTAAGGAAAATAAGTTGTTGTTGGCTGTAAGTTGCTCAAAATGTTTGGCCCTCTTTGATTTTCTTGTCTCAGTTTCCGTGTTCTGCTTGCCAAGGAATTTTCCTAGCTTCTTACTATCCTACCTCAACATTATTGAAAAGGAACTGAGGAGTATCTAATTGAACCTATTTATTTCACATATAAGGATAACTGCAGAAAGGGGAGGTGATTTGCCAAAAGTCATACTACTAAAGAGAGACAGAAGCAGGACTAGTGTTAAGGACTCCTCTTTACCATTTCATTTTTTTTCCAGTTTGTTGTAAATGTATACATATAAATATGTAAACTGTACTATGAATATAAATGTGTACTCACGATGTCATAAACCTGATTTTCTAACATTGCTATACTCACCCCAGTACTTTTAGTAGTTTTTATTTATTCTTTTTTGAAAGACAAGTGACTGCAGTTCAAAGAGATTGAAATTAAGTTGTAAAACTAAGACTATGACCAGAACCTGGGTCCCCTGATTCTGAATTTTTTTCTACTATACTTTACTTGCTCTTAATAAACATTGCCTCTCTTTGTCTTGAAAAAGTGAGAGTACGCCATTTACAATGTCGTCAGTCAATTAAATTAATAAATTTAATTAATTAATTGATTCAATAAAAATTTATTGAGCACCTACCATGTGATAGGCACTGGGGATATAGTAGATGGTATAGAGCTTTCATGTAGTGGGAGAAGCAAATAATGAAAGAGTGAATGAATGAATGCATAAATAAGGTCAAGTAGTTATTAATGCTATGAAGGAAAAAAATAAAAAATAAATGAGAGTAGTAGAATAAAGAAATAATGGGTAACTGTTTAAAAGTGTGGATAGATAAGGGTTCTTTAAGACACTCATACAGTGCTTGAAGGAAGCAAGGGAACAAGCCTTGCAAATATTTGAGGAAACAACATCTCAGGTAGAGGCCTGTTGGAAGAAAATAAGAAAAGTATGAAATTCTTTAGATTAGACTGTGCTCCTGATAAATCAGTAAGTACCAAAGTCTGTACGAAGAGTGGTTCCAGAGCCACCTTTTAGGGACTTGGAAACTGAATATTTTATGTTTCACCACCACCACTACATTGACAATTTCAAATTAAAATAATACTAAACCAAAAAACATAAAACTTTTAAGTATACTGAAGTTAAAATACTTTTTTATCCCTAGATTTTCAAAACTCTTGGTAAATTCAGTGTAGTACAGCAATTGAAAACGTTAGTTCAGGAAGCAGGATGCTTGGGATCAGTTCCTAATTCTAAAACTGATTAGCTGTGTGACCTTGGGCAAGTTAGTTATGTTTTTCGTCTGTAAAATAGGGTAATAATAAGACCTTCCTCACAGACTAGGTGTAGCAACACAGTGAGTTTATGTATGTATAAAGTGCTTAAAACAGTGCTGAGCACATTGCAAGGTTTCTGTAAATGTGCCTTATGATCATCAAAGCTAAAGTTTTCTCATTTTCTGCTGTTCCTGGATAAGCACATGGGGAAATCAGGTGATGCTTAGAAGTCTGGAGATCCTTTCCTGTCTTTCCCAGTTTGCCTATAAGTGATTTCAAATTAGTTGTCATGTAGAATTGCCAAATGCTTTAAAGGATTTAATTGCTCCCAAATTAATTTCATTGTCACTAAAGACTTAGTGATTTGAAAAGATTTATTAAATGTCAAAATGATGACAGGAGCCAACAATAGTTCTGCCACTTGGCATGATGGGCCAGCTGTTCCGCCTCTTGGATTAGTCTATCATTGTGATCTTTTGGGTTGAAACACTCTTTTCTCTATGTAATAGCACAATAACTCTCACTATTCAAATTATGTACTCTGAGATACATAATTAATAACCTAATTTATATTTATAGGTTTTCTTGTAATAAACGATGAAAAAATCACAAGTTAAAAAAATTTTATGTAAAAAACATATAGATTCTTTTTCATTCTTTTATAAATCCTATGAAAAAATAAAACTCAGGGAACAGCCTGTGGTTTTGAACAAAGCTTGTAATTTTGACCTCAGTTTAACAACATAACAACCAAGAGAGACCTGAATATAAAGTCCTTCCTCATTCTCTTATAAGCCAGGTGGCCTTAGTCAAATTAACCTCTTATCACCTGTACAGTAAGAAAACAATAGTACTTAGTCATTGGCCTGTTGTAAAGATTAAAAGAATTGTACATAAAGTGTTACTACAACTCTCATATATGAAAACTATTCAGTTACTGTTATTATTATTGTATGACTGTGATTATTTGCTCTCTAAGGACTCTATAACCACTTCCATTTTCAAATGCATTTCCCAAGATCACTATTATTCTATCCTTTTAAAAAATCTACTCACTAGTATAACACTAATACTTCTAAGATTATTTCCTTTGAAATAATTTAGTGAAATGAATGAATCTTAACATTTGTTGAGTATTAAGCATGCTAAGTGCTTTTATATACACAGTCCCATTTCATCCTTACTTCAGCCTGGTAAACAAGGTGATATTTTCAGTTATTTTAGTCTCAGAGAAAGGTTAGTGATTTATCATGGCTACTCAGCCAGTAGATGGCAGAACTGGAATTCAATAACCAGTAACTATGTTGTTTTTTTCTTCATCGGACAAAAATAGTGACCCTAGGTACATGTTCTAGTCAACATCATTAAGTCTTCCTTTGCTGCAGTAGCTCAGGGAAGATATTATTACTGCCTTTCTAAATGTTAACTAAATCTCCAGTGCTATTTTTTCAAGTCCTAATTCAAGCTATTTCTTTCTTTTTAGAAATTATGCTGAAATTAGCATAGATCACAAATAAATTTTAATTAAAAATCATTTTTGAGTAGAGAAAATGTGCCTATTTTAAATTAACTATATCAAGTGAGATAAAAAAATCAGAAGTATAACAAAATATGTTTTATAGAGATGCTAGTCCTCCTTTTTTCCTGTTTCAACAGGTATGTCATATCAGCACCAAAACTACTTCGTGTTGGAGCATCTGAAAATATTGTAATTCAAGTTTATGGATACACTGAAGCATTTGATGCAATAATCTCCATTAAAAGTTATCCTGGTAAAGAATTTAGTTATGACTCGAAATCTGTTACTTTATCCACAGAAAATAAATTCCAAAACTCTGCAACCTTAACAGTATGTATTTGTCCTTTGTTTTCTTTATATACACAGAATATCTTCAATGAAATGTGTTCAGAGTTTGAATATGGAGAGCATAGAGATTTGGTCATTTATACCATTATATTTCTGTGTGATTGTTAGGTGATATATGTTAGTCACTAATAATAATATGAAGGAAACAGAAAATTCTAAATAGGAGAGTTGTGTCTGTTTTTTGAGCAATTTATGTAATTATAATGTTTTTATTAGAAAATAAAATTGTACTGATATGTAAATATTTGAAAATGGGTTGAAAATACTTATTTTCTGTGAAAATTATCATTAAAAAGAAAGAAAAATATGAATATTCATGTCAATCATGTTGATCTATAATGCATTGCCTACAGAAAGCCATAGATGCTATTGAATATTTGTTTGTTTAAATCCCAATACACTACAATTATAGTTTCAAAGACTAATAAATTATTGATTACTGAAGTGAATAGCTCTCATTGACAACTGGTAGTTAACAGGAAAAACAACCTTGATCAAATAACTTTTTCTTCTATTAAGATATTATAGTATAGCTTGGTTAGAAATGTACTTGCAACTCATTTCTCATTAAAATATCCTGATAACTAAAAACACTTTTCCATACTCAGTATTTATTCACCCAAATGAATAAATACACCCCAGTGAATAAATATAACCAAAATATTATTTTAAATCCCAATAAAAATTCAAAAATCAGGAAGCAGAAAATCAAACACTACTAAACCTGCAAGGGGCTCTGGGGTTCATCTATACTAGCATTTCTTAAAAGTGAGTTCTTTAAAAAAGAAATTAAAATTTGAAATTTTATAGAGTTTAAAATTATAATTATATTGATTTTTATCATTTTGAATTTATTTTGTATATTTATTTTGATTTTATAATTATATAAAAGTCATAGACATAAGATTATACCTAGTTTTAGGTTTGTATGTATTTAAGTAGCATCGTAATAAAAATAATAAAGGATAAAAGGAGAACCTTTTCTCCTTTAAAAGAGGTATGTATACTTGTATTACTCAGTTTTGACAAATTGATCTAAATAAATTTAACCAGATGTAAGTATTCTTTTATTAGTGTTTTTGGTGGCATATGCTCTAATCTCTTAACAACTATTTACATTTATTAGGGTTTAGTAAGAATTGAACTTCATATCCCAAAAGTGTTTTCAGCAGCCACATCTTATGTGACTCAAGGTAGCCACTAGCTGCATGCAGTTGTTACTTTTAAATTTAAATCAATCAGATTTAACAAAAATAAAAAAATTTAGTTCCTCAGTCACATTTGCCACATATCAAGTTGCCACATATCATGTGGCTCAAATAGCCACATGTGACTGTGACCACTGTATTGGACAGCATAGATAACAAAACGTTTCTATTGCCTCAGAAAGTTCTATTTGAACAGTGCTAACTTAGATGGTTAATTGGAAAGTACATTAAGGTGGAGAAATCACAAAAATTGATGCATATCTTAAGCATTTGATTTTATGTTAACACTATAATATATCTTTATTTGCCAACTGTTTGATGTTGTGCCAAAGGCTTTTCTTTAAGTGCAGGCCCACTGATTGGAACTTCAAATCTAATTTATCAGGTGTCACAGCTTTAACAAATCATCTTTGTTCTACAGTTTGTTTCTTTAAAGTGGAGAAAGAACTTAAAGACACTTCCAAAGAATCTAAGTGCACAATCTTTATAGAGTTTTACTGTTTTACCCAACTTTTACAGCACTCACATATCTAATGCCACAGCAGTTGACTTTAGTGATTAATTTTTATCCTGCATCCAAAACCCAAGTTTTCACAGAAGCACTTATCTTTCTTTTATTACTTTTTATGCATTAAATTTGCATACCAAGCAATGTAAAGTAGATAATACAATTACTTACAAATACTGGAAAGTACACAGCTCAACTGGTGAGAGCAGAAGGATGTAGCTATAATACACAGTGTCCTGACATCAGTCAGGATGTTGAAGGGAGAGAATGGAGACCATGGGCAAATCCAGCAAGCTGATGAAGTGAAAGTTTATTAAGGGAAAGTTTATTAAAGCTTACATAGTTTTACTAAATGCGTGTAACATTTAGGAAACACTTTAGATATTGGTTAAGGTATTTAACACTGAAGGGCTTTGGGCAAAATTTATGTACCATTCTGGCTCCCCTCTTACTTTTTAAATGATTAAATACACATACTTATTCTTCCTTCTAATGAAATTACAGTGGTGTTTAGAAAGTCAACATGCCTTATAACCTTAACATTAATATTCACTTCTTCATCAACATTTTCTGTTACAGATACAACCCAAACAATTATTGGGAAGACAAAACCCAGTTTCACATGTGTATTTGGACATTGTATCAAAGCATTTTTCAAAATCAAAAAAAGTGCCAATAACCAAAGACAATGGATATCTCTTCATTCAAACAGACAAACCTATTTACACTTCAGAACAATCAGGTAGAGTATGAGATGCTTCTTTCCCTGGGGAGGACAACTGACATTATACTGTAGAGCTTTTAAACACTCAAAATTAACTGGAGACAGGTTTCCAATTTGTTTAAAAGAGTCTCAATTCTCAGTGACTTTTATACTTATAAATGTCATGTTAATTTTAAATGTATATGGTAATTACTATATAAACAATTAAAGTTTGATTTTAAATGCATATGTAACTTGCAAAATCAACAATTACATAATCTGCCCCATCAGTTATTTCCATGTAGAAAAATGCTTTTTAAAAATTGTGAAATGTTGTGTATATTTTATTTATTAAACAAGTATAAAATGGAATTACCAATACTATAATTTTTGCAATGGGAAAATAATTTATCATAAGGGCACATTCATTTAAAAAGTTCTATTTCTTTGGAGCTAACCCTCAAATTTAGAAAACAAATCCAACCCTAGAAGGTAAGCTGTTTCAGCAAAGAATAAACTAAATCACAGAAATATATGAATATTATTTTTCTTAGGAGAATTTACCTCAGAAATTTCCTATAAGAACATTATCTCATATTCACGGTTCTTTTAGAGAGAGAAAGGGCAGGATAGCCCAAACTCTGTGATTGAGGAATAACTGGACTTATTCCCAAAGAACCAAAAGTAAAACAGAGAAAAGTGTGAATGGTGCCCAGATATGTACAAGTGTCTGCAAGTCTTCAGTTCCTCTATAGCTCCCTCTCATCCTCAATGACTTTTGAGCACATTAGAGATGGGAGTATGAGAGAACTATATGTGGGATGGGAAGGTTTTGATATGATATCAAAACTATATGGAGTTTTGATAATGATATCATTGATGAAGGACAGAGGCAGGGAGGCAGGACTAGCCAGCTTTGTTGAAACATTTTTCACACAGGGCATACTGGCCAAATGTTGGCTGATGGTGATGATGACAATAGCAGGATGGAACAGGCCCACGCCATTACCATTTCAGCAGAAGCACCTGTTATGATCAGTTCAGAAAGGAAAGGCCTAGAGCGGGTAGAATATTGCTCATGGTTTGGACAGAATACCATTGCCAAAATAGTACCATCTCTTGACTCAAACAAGATGACTTAGCATACAAAAAGATAGTCCCTACCTATAAAGCTTGGGCCCTTTTGAACGTAATTATACCCGGAAACAAATAAAGTCCTTGCCCCATCCTCCTTTTCTATTAGAGGATGCTTCATTAATTAGGGCCTATTAACACTACCTACCACTTAGGGTCCCCAGTCTTTGTCCAATAAATAGTCTGATACCCAAAGCATGGACCTTTCTTAGCTATCAAGTCTTTCCTTAAGAACAAACTCATATATGATTTCCCTATCAGAACTTTATTGTAAGAAGACTCGGCATCTTCACTTATTCTAATCTTAAAAGAAAACCAGAGAACATTCCTCTAAGTTCCACTAAGCAGACTCTGGAGCCAAAGTGTCTGGGTTCACATCTGGATTCACAGCTTGGGCTGTTACTAGCCCTGTGACCCTGCACGAGTTACTCAATCTCTTTGAGACCCACTTTCCTCATTTGCAAAATGGAAATAATAATAGAACTTACCTTGTAAAGTTGTGAGAATTAAGTGGATTCTTATGTGTAAAACACTTTTTAAAAAGTGCCTAGTACAGAATAAGCACTAGGAAAGTATTTTCCATTATTATTTAATCTTGTTAATTAATTTGTGGAGTAACACAAAGCTAGATGTACACTTTTAAGTAATTCTTTTAGAATTGACTGAATCTTGCTATTTATAGCTCTAAAGTCCTGATGCACACATTGAATCTGATGCACATGTTTAATCTGAAGATCCTTGAGGGATTTTGAGCATAAGCATCTTTAGGATAAAGGCTTAAATCTTCAAGGCTTTATAGGATAAAGGACTTCAGAATATGGACCCAAATCCTTCAAATCCATACAGCCTGTGTCCTGCCTTCTAGTTTCATCATCCACCCTGCTTCCCTCGTCTGTGGACACCAACCTAACTGACCCCTTTTCTGGGGCTTGCTCACACCATTTTCTGTCCATATTAAGGCCTGCATACCTCTGCCTTCCACATTCATAACCCTCCATTGCCTTATTACCTCCTACTCAACCCTTACCTGTCACCTCAGAGAGGGCAGCCCTGACAACACTCCTTGGAGGCCAGGAAGTGTCCTTTGTAGCACCTCTCATTCCTGGATTTTTATGTATACTTGTGTGATCATGTGCTTGCCTCTCTCCTCCACGCCATAAGAAGACTTCCACATCTGATTTGTTTCACCACATATCTCTGTGCCTAGCATAGTGCCTGCACATGGAAGGCACTTAATACCTTTTTTAAAATTCAAAGCCATTATTTTTGGCACAAAAATTTATTGATCTTGTCTCTAATACACCATTGCTCTGAAGACACGATTAATTTTCTAACCTAAACACAAACTGGTTAGAAAGTAGACACGTAATACTCATACAAATAATAATAAAATAGAAATAATAATCATTTGTTGATTAGTTACTATGTGCCAGTCTGTGCAAAAGCTTTGTCTCATTTAATTCTCACAACACTATGAAGCAAATATTAGCAGCCCCAATCTACAGAGGAAGGAACTAAGATTTAGAGGGATTAAGTATTACACTTAGGATCACACTAAGAAGTGGGAGAGGCAAGAGTGAAACCAAAGTTTTGAACTCTGGGGCCTGAGCTTTTGTAGCATACTGCCTATGGTAAGCATCCCAGTGATGCTCAGGCCTGGGCCAGGTATGTTCATAAGGTAGAAGGGAGAATTTGAGGTTGGAGACAGGACTGAGGGTAAGGGGATAGCAGAGTTAGCGGGGAGGGATTTACTGAATATTTTACTTTAATCCTATGATCTTAATGAAACGAGTTTTAGAGATATTAGTTAGCTTCTTATGTAGAGCTTTGCATAATACTACTTAAAAAAAAGTTTATGGTGCCAGTTCAGTTTTATTTTGTGGGTGAAGTTTTGGCCATGAAATGATTTGAGCATCAGGAAAACTCTATAGAAATAAACAGTTATGTCATTGGAACTAGGTAAGCATATATGAAGCAGCTATGAGTTAAAAGCTAAGCAGATGCGTTTGTTTAAAAGGTGGGGGTCTACTAATTGACAGAAAGAAATGGAAGAGAACTAATTGTTATTGAGTCACTGACATTAGTCTTATAACAATGAGGGAAAAATTGTATAATCTGGCTCAATAAATATAACAACACCATACAATTCAAAGATAATTTTAACAACAATGAGAGATAATTTGGAGCCTTGTTATAAGAGTATATAATGTCTGAATCAAACTACCTAATTTTCCATTAATCTTCAACTTTAACATGAGACAATATATTATATTCCCATATAACCATATGGTAGACATTACTATGTTACTACTATGAAATTCTTGATAAACAATGGCCTAATTACAGATATACCTAAATTTGTACTATATACATGTTCCAAAAAAAGGTTGTATGTAAATATATTTTAACAAAGTGAACTGTACTTTTTCACTAGAATTAGCTTTTTAAAGAAATCCAGAAAGATTCTTATATATCTGCAGTCTTTTTCCTTCTTTTAAAAATGGATTTTGGTGTATTGACCATGTATTGATTTATCTTAATGAGACTCATCTCTATTAAAGAGATTGTTGTTAAAAATCAAAATACCCTTGTGTTTAATAGTTTTTGATGCTATCAATTATTCTTACAGTAAAGGTTAGAGTTTTTTCACTGAATGATGACTTGAAGCCAGCCAAAAGAGAAATTCTCTTAACTTTCATAGTAAGTATGTTATTTATCTAAATAATTTAACTCATTTTTAAAATAAGATATGTTATTTCATCATCCCTCCCTAGTACCATACTGACTCATTCAATGTTCAGTAAATGGTGACTGAATATTTTCTGTGAGTCTAACATTGTAGGTTTATGCCTCTAAAATAGGCATGTGTAAAGAGCACATGAATATTAAATCCCAACAACTTATGATTTTAAACTAAATCATTTAACTACATCCTTCATGATTTATTTCTTCATGTAATGAAAACTGATTTATTTCTTCAGTAATGAAAACTGATGAGCAATAAAAAGGTGTTAAGTAAATATATGATTTTGTGTGGGGCCGCATTCATAGCCATCCTGAACCACATGTGGCCCATGAACTAATTCACCCTGGTGAATTAGTTGAATACCTATTATTAGATTTTTTAATTTGTATGATTCAAGATAAAGAATTACAATCTATGGTACTTACACGTGAGGAACTTGGAGTTTAATAACTAACATATTAACACATATGAAAAATAGTTACTAAACCATGAGATAAAGAGTAGCAGTTATCAACATTTTATCAGCCATGACACACATAACAGATGATAGGTACATGTGCAATAAACTCCCATGGTCTTACCCAGTTTGTGCCACAACCCTACAAGATTTTGTGGGAATAACTAACTGCTCATCTATCGACACTAGGTGTATTAGTAACAGTCCTTCATTATAGGCTAAAACACATTTTCCTCTACTGAAAAACAAAAAACAAAACCTTACCAAAACATAAGTGAAAAAGAGTAATGTATAGGAAAACTTTGAATCCTTTATAAATCACAAAAACCATAAACTTATACAAACTTTCACATCTGACTATTATTAATGAATTACTCTTAAAACATCAGAGTGTTTCAAGATAGTTGTTGATTACTACTGATAACATGTAAACTCCAGGAATTCAAAGAGATCAGTGAGGCCAAGGGACACTTTAAGGAAGAAGTGAGTTTGGAACTGGACCTGCAACAATGAGTAGAATTTAGATATGTGGAGAAGCAGCAGGAGGATTGCTAGAAAAAGAATGAGGGATAGCAAAAAGTCAGACATGAGAGGGACAGGACAGGAAGAAAGCAATCTCATTCAAGAGAGGGGGCATCTCTGGGAAAAGAAGGGTAAATAAGATTTGAAAATTAGACTAGACCCAGAAGTTAAGACTTTGTGTGAGAGGTTGTAGGGAGCTACTGTAACTTTCTTGTACAGAACTAAGACGAAGGATGGAAGGGAAATTTGTAGCCATGAGCACTGCTACAGTGGAAGTAAAGCAGTGCGCAGTAAGGGAAACCCACTGTGGGCTGCCGGAGTAAGTCTAGATGCAGAGAGAAGCACTGTAATGTTGGCATCAGGAGGAATGCAGAGTCTGAACTAGAGAGTAAGGAGATGAAGCAGTTAAGAATGGCATTGACAGAAATGAAGAAACTGATTTACAGAAGTCTCAATAAATTTCAGACTCCAATGTGAATTTATTCATTTATAACCATGGGTCTGAATGGGCTAAGTTATCTTAAAGCAGGGGTCCAGGAGCTGTGAGTTTTTTTCCCTGGAAATCCAAGATTTGAGCTTAGGAGAATAGATATACATACAGGGTCCGGCAGAAGTAGCACCTGCTTGAGTGTGGTTGGTAGGATAATAATATGGGTGTAATCATTTATAGTTTTAATTTGAACATTTCATCTAAGATGTCACATGATGTGCTTGAGTGTGATATTGTTATGTTACAGAATTACATGCTTATGATTTTGTAATAAAAAAGGGTGTTATTTGTGCTGCACCCTGTAGATGAATAGATACCATGGAACAAAACCATACTAGAGTATAAACCAAACAAATTGTACAGTAGGACAAATGACATATGAGCTCAGAAGGAAGATAAAATTAGAGTGAGATTAAAGGATGATGTAATCCTCTTCTGGAATAGAATAGGTAAAGGAAATCTTGAGCTGAGTCTTAATGAAGACTTAATGAAGAGAATAGTCATAGGTTTTTTAAAATAATAATGAAGAACTTCCCATGTAATATACAACATGGGTTTAGCTATGGCATCAGGAAGAAGTAAGAAATGAAGCTAGTACCTAAACTGGCTGACTGATGTTGGAAGTCTGGAAGAGAATAAAGGAAAGGCAGTGCCAGCCCCAATGCCCTGTTTTGATCAGAAAATACCAGAGCATGTGGACGGATGCTATTTATTCCACCTCCTGTGCCCCTCTGTGGTGGAACTTTAGTGAGGCAGAGCCCTGACACCACACAAGGAAGAATGGATGCCTGTTGTCATGTATAAGAGCTGTCCCAGGAAGAGGACTGAGGAATTTGATCCCAGAGTAGTGGAGTGTCAATGTGCAGAAAGTGTCTTGAAAACAGTGCTCAAGGAAGATCATCTTAGAAACACTATGCATGATGAACTGCAGGGATAAAGAACAGCCCAGAAGGTACTTAGCTTCGATTCTAATTCTTTTCAAAGTGGACCTTTGCAACTCAAGAAAAAATACCTTAAAATCCCATCCATAGTCCTGGCCAGGCATCTCAGTTGCTTAGAGTGTCATTCTGTACTCCAAAAGGTTGCAGATTTGATTTCTGGTCAGGGCACATATCTAAGTGGTGGTTTCGAACCCCAGTCAAGATATGTATGGGAGGCAACTGATGGATGTTTCTCTCTGTCTCTCCCCCTCCCTCTATCTCTAAAATCAATAAATATACCCTCCAGTAAGGATTAAAAAAATTTTGACCATAAATTTCTTAGTCGTAGCATACGGTGATAAATTTCTGGGTTAAGACCAAAATGTGCCTCTAAATATAGTCCAAAGAAAATAAGAAACCTCGTTTCAATAATTTTCAAACCCATACACCAAAGAAAGATTATGGGGAAGCCTTATGAAAATTTAAAGTTTAGCTATTTTGAATGTTTTATCAAGCTCAAAGTGACCATACTGAAGTTATAAAGTGTCTAGCTAATAAATGCATTTTGTAGTATATTCACTTTAAAAAACTTAAAATGAACACATAGAAATTTATGTTCTGGTATCTATAAAGCCTATAAGTTTACATTTGATTGATTATAACATCATTTATTGTTACGCTTTTTTTTTTTAGTTATACAATAGAGAACTGAGTCTCATCTGGATAGTTGAGACCAGAATACCTGGATGCTTGGCGGGGGCTGCGGGAGGGGGGCGCGGGGAGCGGGGATGTGCGCACGCGGCAGGAAATGGAGGAGGGGTCAAAAAAGAGGGAGGGAAGTGGCTTAAATGAACCTTATTTATCTTCAATACATTTAAATAATTTTTCTCCTTCATATTTAACGTGAAGACATGGATGTTTGTTAGTAAATATTTCTGTAGATCAAAAATAATATAATCAGTTAATTTTGTAATGTGCTTTATGTATTTTGATGTTTGTTTTTATTCAAAGGATCCTGATGGATCAGGAGTTGACATTATGGAAGAAAATGATTATACTGGAATTATCTCTTTTCCTGACTTCAAGATTCCATCTAGTCCTAAGTATTTTGAAATATCTGTTAATAAAATTTTCTCTAAAAAGCACATCTGGTACTTTTGATGGTCAGACAGATCACCAGTCAAATGAAATCACCTAGTGTTAACAAAGGGTGTCAGTGTGAAACAAATGAAGATATATAAAATCTTTGAAAGAGTGATGAGAAGCTAGACTCAGCTTGGGGGTTGGGGGACTTCTAAAAACTTCTCACCAATCTACTTTACACACAGAAATTAAAATTTGGAAGAAGGAAAAATAGACCTCGGCCTTTTTTTTTTTTTTAAATCAAAACCATCAAACTTCTACCCTTTATGGAAATGTAATAGACTATCAGTCTAAAAGGCTGGCATAGTCCTATGCCTTGCTGTGAAAGTTATAAAAATATTACTGTTCTGTAGTCTTTTCTAAATAGACTATCATATTTCAAGAAGAGGAATGTTCTCAGAGTGATTTCTTTCATTTGTCCTCGTGATAAAGGATTTAAGAACATGTTTAAACAGAATTCAGTGTAATAAATATTAGTGAACACATTCCTGGTATGTGCAAAATACATTAGGAATGAGAGATGTAAAAATAGAAATTAAGAATCATGGTTCCTGCCTTCAAGGAGCTTAGAGTAGGACAAATAAGATAAGTGCACCTATAAATGGCTACGGTATTGCTTTAAAGCAAAATCTTTTTATGGTCATTTTTGCTCTATCTTCTAGAAGGGAGTTTGCAGTTAACTTACTATATTGAAGATTATCTAGAAATTTGTATTAAATTGGGGTACTTAAATATATTGGATAATTTTTAAATTTATACTTTATTGAAAATATTACATGCTTTGTAGCACAAAATTTAACCTATTTAATAACTATTATCATTTCTCCAACAGTTACCATTTTTTCATCTTGGGCCATTTGCTCTGTGACAGATTATGTGTCAGCCATGGTAGCCTCTCATGGACAGTACTTTCCTGCCCCAGCACCTTTGGCACATGTTGTCCTCTCTGCTTAGAATGTGCTTCGCTTTATTATTTATAGGCTGGCTTCTTCCCATTCTGTAGGACACAGGGTAAATGCTCCTGTTTCAAAGAGGTTATCCCTGGACACATGATCTAATATAGTCCCTCTCTTTCTTTTATTCTCTTGTTTATTTTCTTAGTGGCACTTATTTCATTATTGCAATTATTTATTTAATTATTTACAATACTTGCGCATTTATTCCCCAGTAGACTGTAAACTCCCTGAAGACAGCAGTCATGTATGTATTGCTCACTGTTATATCTCTAGCATGTCAACATAACAGGCGCTTTGAATTAATGATGATGATAATATTAAATTTATTGATTGCATAAATAATATGCAAAGTAGATATTATCTTTCCCATTTCACAAATGGAATTAAGCAACTTCCCCAAATCCAGTCTGCTAGTAAACAGAAAAATGAAAAATTTGAACTCCTATGGACTATTGGGTCTATGAAGACAGGGACTCATTTATTTTGTTTATTTTTTATCTCTAGTCTTTAATCCAGTACCCCAGATGAAACTGAGTAAATATTTTTGACTGAAAGTTTTTAATTACACTCAGGTCATTTTTCTCTTTAAAGATACCATACTTTGTCTTCAGCTCTAGTTTCTTTTACATGAGGTGTGAATTTTATCATCTGGTTGGACTTCACCTGTATTATATGTTCCTAGAAACATTATAATGAATTTCCTACTACAATACAGATTTTAATATTGTTAGTATAATTAAGCTCCAGGATCAAGTAAATTCTCATGTATCATAAGCTCTTCAATTCAAAGCTATTGATAATATTAAGATAAAATACCTGAAAAAAATAACACAATGTATGAAAAACCAATTACTAAACAGTTTCTATTATCCTGAAAACACTCAATTTTTTCAATTTCTTGCAAATTAAATATATTACTTAGGCTATATTCATCTTTACTTACTTCTGTCTCCTTAAATAGGAATTTATTAGCTTTCCTCTAGGTAAATTACAACTATTTGATGACTTCTGTAATTTTAAATATTTTGCTTTCACAGGTATGGTGTGTGGAAAATTGAAGCTAAATATAAAGAGCACTTTTCAACAACCGGGGCTGCATATTTTGAAGTTAAAGAATATGGTAATTTCTGACAATTAGAAGTTTACATAGAACGAGTTAGTGTTTGTGCAATAATTATTTTCATTAATGAACTTAATGCAAAAGCACTCCCTGAAGATGAAACAGCCTCCTGCTACAGTTAGAAATACTGGTGGAGTGGGTGGGGGGAAACGGTTGTCCCAAGGCCTAGGCCTTAGGTTCAGTACGCTCTTGTTAACCTCGAATAAGCACACCAACCTCTCTGGATCTGTGTTCCTCATCACAGAACAAGCAGAGAACTAGCCCCCAGATGAACTTGACTAGTTAAGGTCTTATTCCAGAATTATGATTTTAGGAGACACTTAATTTGAGATGAGGTGAGTGGAACCCAGAAAGACTAATAGATGATTTATTAAAGTCATTACAACCAATTAGTGACAGAACAAGGACAACAACTGGACTTCCTTACCTCTAGTCCAGTGCTAATTTTCTTCTAGTTCACAAATCCCTAATATATTTATTTGGAAATTAAAGATATTCTTATTTTGAAATCAATCATATTAATAAACTAATAATTAACATATAAATAGCTTAATCTTTCCATTTTAATTGTTGTTTATTAGATAATTTGTGTGCTCTGGTATAAAATTTAACTTTCTTTTGCTTGAAGTCATTTTTTAATCCCCAGGAGACTCTTAATATGGAAAATACATACACAAATTTTTACGATTAACAAAGCAGTGACAACAAATTTGTTACACTGAAACTCAACTTTGAAGATTATAGGCTCTCAATATACATAATTACAACCAACCTCCCTTCCTCCAAGTGTTTTTGCTGCTTCCTATGAATATCTAGAATTCATCCACCTTTCATTACCTATGGCCGCACTCATTGATTCATCACCAGGCTCTCTCCTGGATTATTGAAAAAGCCTCTTAACTGCTATCTCTGCTTTCCAACTCACTTGGCATAAGCCAAAATAATCTTGAAATGCAAATCTCATTATATTATTTCACTATCGAAAAGTCCCCAGTAGCTCCTCATTTCTTTTATAATGAAAGTCAAGATCATTGTTTTGAGCTGGACTTCTGCCTCTTCAGCCTCAGTATATACCACTCTTCCCCTCGCTTCCCTCCTGCACTGGTGACTTTATGCATGATGTCCCACCTGCCTAGAACACTCCCTCATTGCCTTGCCAATTCCTACTCACCTTTCAAGTTTCAATTGAAGTCATTTATTCAGAGACGCTTTCCCTGCATTCTCTTTCCTGACTAGGGTTCTCTGTACTTCATATCAGTTTTCATCACTGTGGCTCAGGTGTTTATCTGTGGAATTTTTTTTTGCTTATGCCTGTCTTCCTTGCTTGACTGTGAGTGCATTAAGGACAGGGTTGTGTCTGTCTTGTTCATGGGCATATCACTGTTGACAGGAATGTTCCTATTACACGACAAGTGGGTATTAGGTGAAAGGGTAAAATATTTCCTTGTATTTTATATCCAGAAGAGACCACACCTGCCTGAATCTTTGATAACATAGGAACGCAGCCCAGAGCAGCAAACTGCATTGTTCTTTTACTTCTAGCCTTCACCAACTAGAAAACACATGAGCCATATCTGAAGCCAGCTATCTCACTTAAGCTTGTGTGCCAGTCATTGCTTGTCCACAATATCAGCGTCACTTAATAACCCAATTCTCTATTAACTGTTGTGTAGGCTAATAGAATTAGAATCCATACGTCCTAGTACACAGTTTGAGTTAGTACAAAGAAAAGACAGAGACATTTCAACAGGATTTTGTCTATTAGAAAGAAAAGAGAAATATTAAATAAGCAAGAATTTTTATTTGCAATTTAATAAACATTTGTTAAACATTTACTGTGTTTAATACTTATGAGAAGGGTGAAGGAGAAGATATCCAAAGATAAACAGAGGACAGTCTATTTTCAAGGAGCCCATTCTCTAGTCAAGAAAAAAACAATTGTTTATAATAAATGCTATAATCTAAACATAAACGAAGTGCTTCTCACACATAGAGCTGGATTGACCTCTGATTGGTGGTGTGGGAGACTTCCCAGTGATGTTGTCATTGTTGTTGTTGATAAATGATAACAACAAAAGCTGAATGTTGTGTTGATGTTACATCAACTATACCAGAAAGAAGGTAATACTGCATTTTTCTTTTTATTTTCAGTGTTGCCACATTTTTCTGTCTCAATAGAACCAGAAAATAGTTTCATTGGCCATAAGAGCTTTAATAATTTTGAAATTACTATAAAAGCAAGGTAAGAAAATTGTTTATTTTTCACATTACGCAGCTAAATCGAGTGCCAATTCTAGTTGGTGAGAGTTGCCCAAAGTGACATCTGTGATTTTCTTCCAGGTTTATTGATATGTAATTGACATGGAACATTGTAAAAGTTTAAGATGCACAATGTGTTGCTGAGATCTGTAATTTACTGGCAATGTCTGCCATGCTTTGGGATTGACTGAGTGAGGAGACATCATGCCTACACTTAATTTGCTCATTTGGATGTGAGCTGGTTCTGATTTTAGCTTTCTGGTTATTTACCTGCAGAAAAAATCCTAAAGAATCATTGTGTTGGTTTAGCAACCAGCAGGACTTGGGATATTGGGACTGAGATATGAAGCTTTCTTTCCTTGTCATTTTTTAATGGCTTAATCAACCAAATAGAGATGCATAAGTGTATTTCAAGACTAAATGCCTTAAAATCATAACCACTTATGAGTTAACTGGACATTTCTACTGATCTAGACTAGGCTCTTCTCAGCTGGGTTTGCCCATGTGCTTGCAATCATTGGCAGGTCAGCTAGAGGCTGGCTGGTCCAGGGAGGTTTTATCCACATGTGCAGTAGTTGACTGGCAATTGACTGAAGCTATAAGGATGAGTGTACCATGTGTATCTCCTATCATTCAGCAGGCTAGCCTGTAGCAGCAAAAATGCTCAGATAGAGTATGTGGAAGCATACAAGTTCCCTAGGGTCCTGATCTTGAGACTGGCACTCCATCACGTCTACTACATTCTTTTGTCCAAAGCAAGTTATGAGACCAGCTCAGAGGAAATAGACTTGCTTCACACCTTTGGCACATAAGGAGCGGCAAAGATGGTGGCTATGTGGGATATGTGGAAAATTTGGGTTAGTTTTACAAGAAATCTACCACAAAAATTTAGGCCATTTAAAAATGATAATGCCATATAGTTATTAATAACAATAACCAATTTATATAACTATATGTGTCAGATACTTTTGAAGCACTCTGTATATATTAACTCATTTAATCTTTACAAACACTCTATGAGGTAGGTACTATTACTCTCCCCATTTTACAAACAAACAAACAAAAAAGGGTACATAAATGTTCAATAATTTGCCCAAGATTGCAGAACTAGTATAGTAAGTCACACAATTTGCCTGCTTCCAGAGTCCATGCCCTCAAATGCTACCCTGTACTGCCTCTCTTACTAGCATTTATTCCTAAAATAGAGTGTTTGTCACTTAGTCTAAACCACATAAAAGGCTGACCTGACATGGCATTATAGAATTAATTTCTTCTCATGGAGACACTTTATTTAAGCTATGAATAAGGAAAGTTACTTTATGCTATAATAGTATTTGCTGTGCAGAAAATTTCCTTTATTCTTATTTAATTCTAAACTAAAAAGGTAATATGCAGTTAGGGTTAAAATAAAATTCATCTCATATAACAATAAGGTTGGATATGCTGCTTTTAATGATGTAAAAGGGAAGAGGAAGCAGCTTCCCACGGATATCAAAATCATCAAGGAAATAATACATTCTGTAGGAAAGAGCTCTAGACCTGAGTCTTTCGCTCTCCTCAAGATGAATTTCTCGGCAAGCACATAGTAATAAAATCTGGACTTTGGCCTTATTATTATAGTTCTATGAGGATGAAATGTAATAGTGGATGGAAGATAATTTAGAGTGTATCAAGTGCTTTATGTTATTTCAAATTGTCAGTTTATCTGAATTTTATTTTTGTAACCTTGTTATCAAAACAATCTTATGGTATTATTGTTTGACAGATATTTTTATAACAAAGTTGTCAGTGAGGCTGAAGCTTTTATCGCTTTTGGAATAAAAGATGACTTACATGATGATAATAAAAATATGATGATAAATGCAATGCAGAGCACAATGGTAAGATGTTCAGATGTTCACTTGTACCTGAAGATACATCATAAATGCTAGAGATGGAAAATTACTTCAGAATTATCTAGTCTGATCTCTCATTTTATATAGCTATGGAAGATGGAAGCTGAAAAATCTCATTGGCATCTTATTATCCACTTTCCATGGCATTAGCCCCCTGGCCAGAGTATCCCATGCCATCTCCCCCTTTTCTCTCCCTTACACTGTCTCTCTTCCTTCCAAGTCTTTGCAGTGCTGCTCCTGCTTGGGAATGCTCTTGCCCTTTGACTCTTTCTACCTCTTCTTTGCCTGGCTAATTCCTCCTAGGTCTTTAAGTCTCAACCTTGACAGCTTTTCTCTGGAAAGTCTCCCTGATTCCTCTCAGCCAAGTTAACTGCCCCTGCCAGGTACTCCCTTAGTCCTCGTGCCTCTCTTAGTATAGTATGTTGGACAGTTTGTGGTAGTTGTTCTCAGCCAGGTACTACTTTTACCCCTGCATTTGGCAATGTCCACAGACATCTGTGGTTGTCATAACTGGGGAAGAGGATGCTACAGACACTTAGTGGGTAGAGGGCAGAGGCCAGGGATGCTGCTAAACTCCTGCAATGCACAAAGCAGCACCGACAACAAAGAGTTATCCTTCCAAACATCAGTAATGCTGAGGCTGAGAAACCATTCTTTATTATAATGCTTTATTTAGTTCTCTATCATTTTTTACACTAAACTCTTTGTGGGTCTGAGTCATTCCCATTACATGCTCAAAGCCAGGATGTTTCCTGTCAAATAGTAGGTACTACTCTATACATATTTGTGAGTGAATGAATCCATTGGGAAGTTACCTGTTCATGGTTAAGGGCTAGTGGAAGCTGCGACCAGATTAGAGCCCTGGACCCCTCTTCTCTTGTTCATTGTTTTTCACATTATACTACAGATGATAAGGACTCATGCCATTCTACTCGCTGTTGCATATTCACGTAGTTTACATCATTAGTTATTTAGCCTTTGCTTTTTTAAAAGACAGTTTTATTTCTTCCAGATATATATTTCTTCAAGATATAATATGAGATTCTATGCTAGACACTGAGATTTAAAGCTAAATAATACAAAAATCCTGGTTCAAGTTATTTAATTTTAGAGGAAAAAATAAGGCAGAATCTATTTTCCTATTGTGCTTAATAATTAAATGCTATGGCTTAACCCCATACCCCTTTACCCATTGTATGTTTTTAAACTAGCATCTCAGTGTGTGAGCAACAAAACACAAATTAAATATAAAAACCAACAAAGTAAGCAAAAGTAAGGTGAGAATCCTGGGAAGGTGTATGATGACTCAGAGATTAGAAGAAGATATTTTTGTCAGTTAATGCAAAAAAGACTTGTTGAATCAAATGATGTTTAAGACTTTGCATGTCTATAATTCTATAAAAGAGATTAGAAAATAACATTATAAGCCTAATTGTGGACCCAGTCATTTACTTTACTGGTGATGATAAACCATTCTTCTGGCATTGGCCTTCAGTTGAAAGCCTAGTAAAAGCATATTTTGTTAACTTTCCCGTATAAGTTTTTTTCTAATATAACACTTTCATTTTTTTCCCTTTTAAAAAGTTGATAAATGGAATTGCTAAAATCACTTTTAACTCTGAAAGAGCAGTTAAAGAATTGTCCTATGGAAGCCTGGAAGAGTTAAACAATAAGTACCTTTATATTGGTGTAACAGTCATAGAGTCTACAGGTAAGTTTCTCTCTCTCTGTCTCTCTTTTTTTTTTTACTTTATCTTGGGAAACATTTAGACAGTAAATAAATAATTTCTATAGTTCTTTCACATTTTATTTTCTTTTATAGTCAAATTTTACTTTTTCTATCATCAAAAACCAGGATTAGCATATAGTTCTGCCACTCTCTAGGCATTGGGTTCCCATTGCCTCAACTTCAAGATAACACCTGCCCTGCTGATATCCTGAGTGGCTCTGCAGTGATCTCTCTTGAACATCTGGCACCCTAGTGTTCTCACCTGGTGAAAAACAAAATAAGAATAAAATTATGTATGTAAAAATGTTTGATAAAGTACTATGCAAATGAAAATTATTATTATCATTGTTTTAGTCTCCTTATATGTACAGTGACAAAGTTGAACCAAATGCCTCCTAAAGCCTTTTCCAGCTGCAAGGCTCAAGCATTCTTTCTAAAATTGGAGGCAGTAATGTCTCTAAAATGGGTACAATAATATACATTCATAGGGTTGTGGTGAGGATCAAAGTGTCAATATATCCAATGTCCTTAAAACAGTACCTGTGACACAATGACTATGTCAGTGTTGGCCATCCTCCTCCTCTTTCTCCTTTATCTTCCTCCTCCTCCTCCTTAGGTATACCTCCTGCTTTCTTAGCATCCTTAATATCTTATATAGTGCTCTGAATTCCACTCCAATGGTTTTTAATAGTTATTAGTTATTATTCCAAATTGAGTCAAATGGTCTTACTCCTGGTATGTCTTGATTACTAATATTCTTTGTATGTTTGGGTTTATATTGACTCCCCCCACCACTAACCTTGAAAAAATAATTTAACCACACTGAGTCTATTTATTTTCTGTAAAATTAAAGTTAAACCAGATAATCCCTAAGGACTCTTCTACCTCTTTAAATTTGTCCTTCTAGGGTAACAGAATGAAGAATAGAGGTAATTTTTCAGTTATTGAGAACCTTGTATATATCAGATGCTCAACAGATGTTGGAGAATGATAATGGCTTTATACTCCTTGCCTTGGATAGCTGTTGTTTTTGACATTATTTTAATAATGTTTCTTTCTTACTTTTATTTTTCCTCAATTTATTTCAAACAAATTCAGTTTAGTAAATATTTATGAAGTAGTCAAAAAGTGTTGCTAAACATGCAATCTTCCAAATGTGAATGATGTATAATCCCAGCATGCAAGTGGCTTACATACTAGCATCTGCTGTAAACAGGTAAACAAAGAATTCTGTACCAAGGAGGAATTCCATGTATGCTTTAAGCAAAATAGTGTTATTGACGTTGAGAAGAAGGTGAGCTCTTCGATGATGACTGGGCAACCAAGAACAGTGTCCTGCAGATGATCATCCTGCAGGATAAGCAGGGTTTTGAGGCAGGGCTGGTAGACGAAGTGAAGTGGGGCGCCCTCCATAGAGAGGCATACCAAGCAAGGGTGGAAAGTGAATCTTGATATTGGATAGTAACATATTATCCAGTTAGCTGGAGTTAGAGAGTAATAGAGAAGTCATATCGCAAAGGACTTTGGGGACACTAGAACTTTGCATGTGATTCTTAATAACTTAGCTTAAGCTTTAGCTGGAGGGTAATACCATTGGGCTCCCGCCAGTGGAACCTTAGGGTTCTCTCTACCTCAAGCACTCTTTTCTGACTTCCTCTACATTTCTCTCCATATTTCTGCACTCTAATGCTCAACCCCCTCTAAGGCTTAGTCTCCGGCCGACCTTTTCCTTCTTGCCTTAATCCTTTTTACATACTCAGCTTAAACTCAGACCGCTGACTGAAAAGTGGCACCCCTTCTTTGCTTTTTTTCAACCCAGTCCTATAGCTCTAATTCCACATGGAGCATGTCTACATACAAGCCTTGCACATAAGGCTTTGAAACTCCTGAGATTTAAACTCTTCTCTGCACTGCCCACCTGAACCAAGACCCATGTCCTACTTACGACTGGTAGATGAATGAGTGCAGGAATGGAGTGAGTGAAGGAGCAAGTCTGTGGAGACACATCACGATGAAATAGATCCCCATGCAGATCCTCCTTAAAAAAGTCAACATGATCCTTGTCATTTCTTTAGGTGGATTTTCTGAAGAGGCAGAATTTTCTGGCATCAGATATGTCCTCTCTCCCTACAAACTGAATTTGGTTGCTACTCCTCTTTTCTTGAAGCCTGGAATTCCATATTCTATCAAGGTAGATGAAGGGGGGTGATGGGAAAACTGCTGAATATCATTGTCTTTTTCTGTTTTCAGAAAACATGGGGGATGGCGTATAGGGGAAGAATGCTAGAGAGGCAAATCAGGAAGGGAACTCATTCTGTAAAAGTTGCACCTCCTGTGGGTATGGACAGGGTAGGAAATGGCAGATCAGATACAGTCTCAGGGCAGGAGTCAGTATTTAATAAGACAGCTTGTGGTAGACATTTCCTAAATAAACATTGCATTAAATTATATGTAAATAAAACCCCATACATCTATAGTTCAACAAACGTTAACATTTAAAACTATTTGGTGGCATGTTCCTGAAAAGCCTTAAGAAGGAAATATTGCTTGAAAAGAAACCCCTGTCTCTGACCATTTTTTGCATCTTGTGTGTCTCTGAATTTGCATCTCTGCTTTTCACTCTGCATTTTCCTTGTGCGTGACTCTGACTGATCTTATCTTTCTGTGTTGTTCTCCATCCTTTCCATCTTGACTTGTCCTGTCCCTCTCTTTTCTGTCTTTTTTGCTTCTTCCTCCCTATTTAATGTTTTCTCTCCTTCCTCCACTTTCCTTTTTAAAAAAGCAATAGTATGGAATTTAAGTATTCACTTGACTTTTAGATTATATTTTATTATATTTAGTATATATTTTATTATATATAGTATATTTTTAAAGTAGAAATTTTTGTCCCCTGTTCTTGGTTTTAAAAGCCAGAGCACCATACTTTTTTTTTATTCTTTGAAAATATGCTGCTTTTAAAAATCAACTTTAGTATAATTAAAATATCATACTTATTACTTATTGTAGGTCATTGGCTTTTAATATCACATATAAAAATAATGTAAAATATATCTTTGTGGAAATTATATATGATTGTATGTATGGTAATGAGAGATAGAGGTTAAGAGAAAAAAAAGATGCATTTATTGTTTCTCGTATCCAAGAGAATCATCCCCATAAGTGACTGTCTCATTTTCTCTTTTATTCAGTCCTAAGCCAACTGAAGAAACACAGAAATTAGGTAGCAGAAGACCTTATCACATCTACTTGGCACAATTTAAAAAGATAATATTTGTGTTCTGAGTCTGCTTGATATACAGGAGAATCTATTCAAAAGTGATTTAACTAAATAGAATTAAATCTTTTTTTAAGCTGAGAACATACTTCTCTTTACTGAATTAACTATGAATAATTTATACTTTAGGGCGAAGAAAATTATTTCAGAATCGCTATGCTTGAAAACAAGTGCTGAGCTGTTAAATTGAATTTTGACTATTCTGACCAACAGGTGCAAGTTAAGGATTCACTTGATGAAATAGTGGGAGGGGTGCCGGTGACCCTGAGTGCACAAACGGTCAATGAAAACCAGGAGATGGCTGACTTGGAATCAAGGAAAAGCGTGACAAGTTCCAGTGATGGAGTAGCTTTATTCGTGGTTAATCTCCCATCTGGAGTGACAGCTCTGGAGTTTAATGTGAGCTGAATTCTGTTGAATTTTCTAGGACAGTGCGTACTTTTGACTGTGTGCTTTGGCTAGTGTGCAGAACAGATGCAACAGATTCTGTATTTGAGTCCAGTGAACAGCTCCACAATTTTGCATCCAAAAATAAATAAAAAAATAAAAATAGCACCAGAGGGAGATTAATCTATCACTTTTTTTATTTGGGGATTTATTATTTTCTCTTATATCTGTAAGACTATATTACAATCTAAAAGCTTCAGAATGTGTGCAGCTATGGAATTTAGTGGTAAGATTATTCTCTCCCACTATCCCCAATTGTTATCTCTTTTCAGGGCCTTAAAAGGGTTAAATGTGGGAGCTTCCCTTTTTTCCTAACTGTATGGACCACTCGCCCAGCAAATAATGTTTAAATTTCCAATTCCAAGCAAAAAATGAATAAGTTAATAATGACTGCAGCATGCATACATTCCCTGCCATCTCCTGAGCACTCATAAAATGCTAAGCGTTCTGCTAAGAGCTCTATGTAGATTGCATTTAATATCTATTTCATTAGCTTTATCAGGGGTGTCCAACCTTTTGGTGTCTCTGGGCTACACTGGAAGAAAAAGAGTTGTCTTGGGCCATGCGTTAAATACATCATGACATGTAATCACAAAAAATATCACAGCCCATGCCTGCTGCCCACAGGTTGGACACCCCTTTTAGAGAATATTATCTTTGCCATTTTGTAGCTGAGGAAACAAAGGCTTCAAACTTCCCTTAAATAACTTATCCAGAGTTAGTAAGTGGCAGCACTGGGAGGAAAATCAATATGTATTATACGCCAGGGCATGAACTACTAATCCTTTTGCTGTCAAAGGTGGATATTGCTGCCATTACATCATTTCTGCCCCACCTGGTTTTTAAACACCCCTCTGTGCCACTACCTTACAATGAAATTGAGCCAGAGAATCTCTCCTGCCCACCCTGGTCCTCATATCCCTCCCACCACAACCCCGAATTTCTGCCAACCGAGCCCATAAGAAGAGGAATCCCCAACCCGCCATTACCTTTTAGGAAGACTGCCAGTATTTGTTCCAGGGGCATCTCTCTCTCTCTCTTCACTTTACCATACTTTCCCACCATAACCCACAACCCCATATGATCCTAATTATTGTCCATAGTCTTTGCAAACTTACTTAATAACCAAGCAGTATAAACATGGTAGTAGTGGAGGTTTTCCTTTCTTCAGCATTTGGTGGTATGAAATTTAGAAATTTATAAAACAAATAAAGGAATTTAAAAGATATATTTCACTGAAAACATTTCATCATAGTCCACGTGTCTTCTCTGAAATGTTTCTTCTTAGGTTAAGACTGATGATCCAGATATTCCAGAAGAAAATCAGGCCAGCAAAGATTACAGAGCAATAGCATATTCATCTCTCAGCCAAAGTTACCTTTATATTGACTGGACTGGAACCTATAAACCTTTGCTCGTGGGAGAACATCTGAATATTATTGTTACCCCCAAAAGTCCATATATTGACAAAATAACTCACTATAATTACTTGGTAAGTACTAAACTGTTACATTTACATCTATTTATTCCCCTATCTGGAACATTTTCCATTACTCATAGAGAAAGAGTAGAATGACCCCTTACATTTATTTTTAACAAAGCATTTCAACAACATCACCTAATTTGATAAGCAGTTTTTCAGAAACCTTTGAGATTGGCCATGATTTTCTTCACCATTTCATAGATGAGGTAACTGAAAGACAGAGAGGTTAAAGACTTGTCATGGTCATTCAGCTCAGAAGAGGAAGATTCTGATCTGAACCAGAAACCTCTAACTCCTTGTCTGATCTGCTTTCCCCAAAGAATGCTGACTACTCAGACAGAACCTCAGTAAATTCTCACATCACCTCTGGTCTATATCCTGGCCAAAGATTAAACATCTAGATCTATTTAAAATATATAAATTTCACTGGCATGAAAGGAGAATCCAAATCCTATTCTTAAGTGTTGAGTTGTATCATACCTGCTCCAATTCTGGAGCTCCTAACATCCCTTATTATATCACTAATGTTTGCAGATGTGGTCAGTCAAGCCTGTTGGTGAAATCTAGGGAAGAATGTGTGAAAAACGTTAAGGGCTTCCTGACAATGGTCAAAGAAATGAAATGAATTATTCCAATGGCCAGGCCAAACAGGTGGTGATGGATTTTTCAACATTTTTTGTGAAGTAAATTAAAAAAACAAATGAAGACCAAAGATTATATTGACTGATGAAGAATTAGGGGACCTTTTTAGGGACTGTGTACCAAAATTTGCTAACTACTGTATGCAGTCCTGCTAAGGACAACTTAGAAATCTTTGAGGACATTTTGGCTTCATGTAATTTGTAATTTTTAAAAACATGTATACCTCCAATTTAGAACCTAATCTCTGCCTTTAGAAGTTAATTGCCCAGTAAGATATCTCCGCTTACCCATCTATTTTTTAAATCAGTAAAACAAAGGAGATTTTAATGACATTCATGACTTTAAACAGAATTGGGATCAAATTTTTATTCTCTGTTTTCCTAATTATATGATTTTTGAACTGAAATCAGTATATTTTGTTAATCCCTGAGCCTCAGCCCCTTCATTTGCACAATGGATATAATACTTCTATACTACTGGTTATATAAGAGTGAAAGGAGTTAAAGTAAATATAAAAGTTCCTGGCACATAGTAGGCTCATACATGTTAACTTTCTTTTTCTTTAACATAATTTCTACTCCAGCTCCAAGCTCTGTCCTAAAGGAAAGGTTTTGTTTTTGTAGTTATTGTTGCTGCCACTCTTTATTTTCAGATATTATCCAAGGGCAAAATTGTTCACTTTGGCACACGGGAGAAACTTCCAGATTCCTCTTACCAAAATATAAATGTTCCAGTGACACAGAACATGGTTCCTTCAGCCCGTCTCCTGGTCTATTACATTGTCACAGGAGAGCAGACAGCAGAACTAGTGTCTGATTCAGTCTGGTTAAATGTTGAAGAAAAATGTGGTAACCAGCTCCAGGTAAGCCACAAATTATGTCACAACTGAATTTTCTTCTGAATAAAAGAGACTGTAAACACAGCAACCTGTGAAGTTTTGTCTCATAAAAATGACCTTTTTTTTTCTTTTTCATATGACCTTTAGGTTAATCTGTCTCCACATGCACATGCATATTCTCCAGGTGAACTTGTATCTCTTGATATGGTAACTCACTCAGATTCCTGGGTGGCTTTAACAGCAGTGGACAGTGCTGTGTATGGACTCCAAAGGAAAGCCAACAAGTCCCTAGAAAAAGTTAAGTAGTGCCTAGCCTTGGTTACTGTTGTGTGGGTAGCTCTGTGCAGTACTCCCCAGCATAGGTTGTGAAAGAATCAAGGGAAAATTGGGCCTACTTTTCTATAATCAAAATTTAATCTCTAACAGTGGTTCTTAGGAAGGTAAGCCATTGTCATGTTACTCCCCCAAAGCACAAGTCCATCCTTTCTTGTTCTAGTAAGTGTAGAGTTAAGCACTTTAAAAACATATCACTGCAATAACAATTACATTCATAGGACAAAAGTGCCATCAGTTGGGAGGGTTTGGGGATTTGGGCAGGACAGGCAAGGGAGGGGGCATTATAGTAGCAGCACAAGAGAAGACTGGATAGGTGACCTCTGGGTTTTTTTGTTTGTTTATTTTTGTTTTTCTACTTTCATAAAAGTCTATGGCACAAAAGAATTTGAGAATGATTCAATTTCCCCAAGTTCCCATTTATCTTCCCTATGCTCTGCTACTGTTTTCTAGGCTTCATTTCTTTGAACAAGGAATGAGGAACTAAGAAACTAAAGTTAAAAACATTCAGGAAGAAAAACATTTGGAGTCAAAATTAAAACTAGAATAAGTACCCAAACAAGTTCTCACCTACTTAGAACCTAGAGCCCTCCTTCCCCAAAGACAAGAGGATGTGCTCTTTTTGTTGTTTGTTTTAAGCAACTTAAAAATTAAATTGTTTTCTAATTCACTCATTTATGCATTCACCCATTTATTTTTCTTTTGTCTGGGGGAAGATATGATATTGATTGTCTTAACAGTGGAGTTAGACCGCAGTCCTTGAGTTCAGCTAAGAAAGAATTCAGAGCCAAGAACTTGGATGCAAGAAGTTTATTTAGAAAGTTACAGAGGTAGAAGAAGTGAGCCAACTGCGTGGACTCAGGAAACAAGTTACACAGGCAAAAGAAGGGCCCTTGGAGATTAGGAGAAAGAAAGCAAAGATAATGTAGCCAAGGGAACAAGAGAAAAAGTGCAAGCCTGCTCCAGAGAGAGCACCTGAGGAAAGACAGGTAGGGAAGTGTGCTGGCATGCTAGAGAGAGACAGAGACAGAGAGAATGCTAGATCCATTGTCTAAAGAGTTTTTATCCATTTTTCAAAGACAGAGATTTTAAGGGAAGTCTCAGGGGAGGATCTCAGTATCACAATAGACTATTCATGAGCTTTCTAGCTGTGTCCTTTCAGGGTCATGGTCTCTACTGATTGATTGGCACTAGAGGAGGAGGTCATTAGTCATTGCATCTGGTCTTGATGTCAGCCATTGTGTTGCTTCATCTGATTTCACTGCCTTTCTGGACCTGGAACTAAAACAAAACTGAGGCCTAGATATTATCTCTAGTTTGACCAAAACTCTGTCTCTGGCCTACTGACCTGAGGCTTTGTTCCTGAGATTATCTGATGTAGGTCAGAACCTCACTGTCCTGCGGGCTTAATGCTTAAAGGAGTGGTCGTACAAGGGCTTGTATAGGCATTGCGTGAGTCTGTGTTTCATCTCCCTTGTTCCTCCCCTAAGGGGGTCTAAGCTGCATGACTACTGACCTGGTAGAGGAGGAAAAACCAGGGGTCTAATCCAAATGAGTATCAACATGCTAGGGGTGGGAAGGTCACCTTGGGGATAAGGTCCTAGCATGTAATTCTTGTGTTCCAAGTTTTGCCTGTTGCTAGGCACCAGAGATGTTATGGCCCTGGTGACATTCCATACCTAGCCTATTGTTCCTCTTTTGCTCATGCGTGTATATCTATATACTGTATCAATTGAAGCATGTGTCCTAAATACAAAATACCATAGATCAATTTCTAAGAACCTCCTCACCAAAGCTTAAGACATAGCTCTTGATTTAACTTTGAAGAGGTGTATATTTATAAATACAAAAGGACAAACTAAAGGAATAAAGTTGAGAAATTTGTACTTTGGCCATTTGATAAATGAGTGGCCTGTGCATTTCACAGGTTTGCACATGAAATAGCTCATTCCTTTAGTTCTTTAGAGGAATGGTTTCCACACCTGCATAGGCTCAACATTTGTCTATCTGGACAGGTATTTCATGCTTTAGAGAAGACTGACCTGGGCTGTGGGGCAGGAGGTGGCCGCAACAATGCAGATGTATTCCACCTGGCTGGACTCACCTTACTCACCAATGCAAATGCAGATGACACCTCAGAAAATGGTAAAACGCTCAGCATTTTTCATTTATTCTTCAAATTGATACTGAAATTTACATCATTTGCCTCCCAGTTCTCATTTTTGTTTGTCCTCCAGAATATTCTCTACACTGATCTTAGAATGATATGACTATGTAATGCCCTTGTATAGTACCTTTAAGGTCAAGTACCTGTTTTTTAGTGGACTACTCAAAGCCTCCCATGATCTTCTCCCCTACTGTTCCCAACAATATCTCATCCTCCTCTGCCTTACCTTACTTGACTTTATGTTTAAGCTATATAGAAACAAATGTGTTTCTTGGGTGGCACTATGCTCTTTTACAGCTTTGGGACTTTCCTCATCAGAACTGCTTTCCCGTTTATTAGCCTGGAAAAGCTAGTGTAAGAATTACCTCCTCTATGAGGCTTCTCCCTTAACCTCACCCCCGCCAAATGATCATTCCCTTCTCCTCTCATAGACAGAATATTGGAGGGACTAGCTCTATTTGTAAATAATATAATAGCAGTGCATCACTGCACATTTTTATACTTAATTATACATCTTTTCTCAGCCACTATGCTGTGAGCTCCCTAAGGGCAAGGACCACATCTTAATCATCTTCTTTTTATGGTTTTAAAATTGTTCATAAGTATATATAATACTATTATTTGTAATAATATAGCACAAGGAACAAATAATAAAAATAGCATATCCAACAAAAACTTTGCCCACTCTAAATACTTAGCTATTTCTCTTTAAACAGCAGATCAAAAAGGTTACAGTATTCAAATACAAACTGAGATCAAATGAGTCAAACTACATAACACTACACTCCCCTAAGATAAAACTAGTCATAGTAAGACATGTAGTGTGCAATGCCTAATTGAAAGCAGGTTCTCAATATTTTTGAATGAATGGATTGTGAATATTTTAACTCCTTACACAATTTTATAGAATTTTTTTTTGAAATTTTAATCTCCTTTTTTCTTTCTTCTCTTTGTCTTTATCATTTTTTAAAAAAGCAGGTGAGCCTTGTAAAGAAATTCTCAGGGCAAGAAGAATGCTGCAAAAGAAAATGAAGGAAGAAGGTACTCTAAATTTTCATATTATGGACATATCATTCAAAAGCTGGAAAAACCATACATTATCTAATGTCCCCTAATTCAGATAGAATGGGCAAGAATAAAGATATGTATAGACATCTAATTCATCTCTTCAAAAAGACTACTCCAAATAAAAAGAATAGTTCATTGGCCATAACTTTAATCTGAAGAAAATAAGTATTATTTCTATCTCTAAAATCTAAAAGACTCACTTTTATTTATCACAAATATTTCCTCTCTACAATCTTAATCTAGCAATTAAATTCATGTTCTTCCATTTTATTCTGAAAAATCCACGATTTGATTAACTTTGAGGTATACCTAGAAATCTCTTTTTTCTATTTCATATGTTAATAGTTAATTGTATTTTAGATTACTCTTTGAGAAAAAAGTCTAGTAGAAATTATTTAAAACAATTATTTAAATAGAAATTTGATAATTGGCAATGTTACAATAAAAAGAATATTAAACTGGCGTCAGTGACTTGATAATCATGCTTACAATAATAATCATGCTTACAATAATATAATTCCTTCCATTTCATGCTTACAATAATATAATTCCTTCCATTTGTATACAAATTAGTCTAATTCTAACTTTCATTCTAAGTTTTAATGATATTAAAAGAGAGGCACATTAATGAAGAGTGATGCCACTCGTGAAGGTCCCTAAACCATATCACATAAGAAATGTTTGATAAAAAAAGAGTATATTTAGCTTGAAGAAGGAAATACTTGTATAGTGATGATAGTTACCTTGAAATACTAGAGGGCTTCTCATATAGTTAACCTATTTTAGTCAGTGTGCTGAACCCAAGGTGCAAGTTTCAATACAGTAATTAGCTTAGTTGTAGGAAGGTCTTTAACCATTTAATATGAATCAGAGTGGACTATCCACCTCATATGGCCACATTCTCCCTATTCCTAGAGTAGTTCCAAAGGGAGGCTGGTCAGCCAACTCACCATGACTGTTGTGGGGAGGCGGAGTTCTTATGGCAGGGGAAGCCAAGTATCCTTTCAGATCCTTTCTAAGCCTAGGGTGTTATGACTTTATGTATCACCAAGGGCACTGTGTTATTACCATTTCAGCTGCTAAGTACAAAAATCAAGTAGTGAAGAAATGTTGCTATGATGGAGCCCACCGTAATGATTTTGAAAGCTGTGAAGAGCGAGCTGCCCGGATTACACTAGGCCCACGATGCATCGCAGCTTTTAAGCAATGTTGTGCTATAGCACAAGAGATCCGTGATGAAGACACTCATAAACCTCTGACATTGGGAAGGCTAAGTAAGTTTGACATTTTCTATCAGAATTCTGCCTAATATGAGGAATTTTTGTGTAATTTTATGCTGCTAAGAAAGGCAATTTTCATGCTCTATTTAAAATTGGAAGCAGAAAAGTAGATAACTTGTAAATGACCATAAGAAAAAAATCTGTTAATCATTTTTGGGAATCCAAAGATATGTCTATATCTATATCTATATCTATATCTATACACAATGGAGTAAAAATAGCCTCTTCAATAAATGGTGTTGTGAGAACTGGACTGGTACATGCAAAAAATTGAAACTGGACCACCAGCTTACACGATACACCAGAATAAACTGAAACAGATAAAAGACTTAAATATAAGTCATGACACAGTAAAAGCCCCAGAGGAAAACATAGGAAGGAAAATTTCAGATATCCCATGTAGCAATATTTTTGCCAATATATCTCCTAGGGCAAGGAAATAAAGGGGAAAAAATAAACAAATGGGAGTATATCAAACTAAAAAGCTTCTGCACAGCTAAAGAAACCATCATCAAAATGAAAAGGGAGCTGACTGTATGGGAGAACATATTTGCCAATGATACATTAGGCAAGGGTTTGATCTCCAAAGTATATAAAGAACTCATACAACTCCACACCAGGAAAACAAAAAACATGATTAGAAAATGGGCAAAGGGCCTGAATAGACACTTCTCCAAGGAGGACATAGAGAGGGCCCATAGACATGACAAGATGCTCAATATTACTAGCCATCAGAGAGATGCAAATTAAAACCATAATGAGATATCACCTCACACCTGTCCGAATCGCCATCATTAATAAATCAACAAACAACAAGTGCTAGAAAAGATGTGGAGAAAAGGGAACCATAGTGCACTGTTGGTGGGAATGCAGACTGCTGTAGCCACTGTGGAAAACAGTATGGAATTTCCTCAAAAAACTAAAAAATGGAACTGCCTTTTGACCCACTGCTGGGAATATACCCTAAGAATCCCAAATCACCAATTCAAAAGAACCTATGCACCCCTATGTTCATAACAGCACTCTATATGATAGCCAAGTGCTAGAAACAGCCTAAGTGCCCATCAGTAAATGAGTAGATCAAAAAACTGTGGTAAATTTACACAACAGAATACTATGCAGCAGAAAAAAAGGAGCTCCTACCTTTTGTGACAGCATGGATGGAACTGGAGAATATTATGCTAAGTGAAACAAGCCAGTTGGTGAAAGACAAATACCATATGATCTCACAAATAGGTGGGGATTCCTTATAAGAGGAATCTAATGAACAAAATAAACTAACAAACAAAATAGAACCACAGGCATGGAAACATGGAACAGACTGACAGTGACCAGAGGGAAGGGAGAAGGCAACAATGGTGGAAAGAAGGGGAAGGGACTAGTCAAAGAACGTGTATGAATGACCCACGGACATGGACAACAGTGTGGAAATTGACTGTGGGAGCGGAGGGTGGGATGGGCAGAGGAGGGCAGAGTGGTGGGAAATTGGGACAACTGTAATAAAATAACAATAAAAAAAGTAAAGGAATTTTACCTATTTTAAAAAACAGACAAAAGCAGAATGACAGCTCCTATTTTATAATCTGATTGTTTTGCTTAATAGTGTGTCTTATACATTGTCCATTTAAATGGATATATTTCTGCAAACAAATTTCTGTGGGTACTTACCAAAATCATGTTATTAGATATATTTAGGTTGTTTTCAGACTTTCTGTTTATTACAAGCAGAATTTTCATGAACAATCTGATATATATATATTTTTTTCATTGTCCAATTTTTCAAAGATAGTCTTCTGGTTTGGCTTCAGCTGCATCAACTCAGCCTCTGCAGCTTCTCTCTGGTCCTTTGCTCCTCATTCTGAGCAGCTTGACTTCCCAAAACTCCAATGTGTGTGGCTGCAACTCTGTGACAGTCTGTATGAGCTCCTCTCCCTGCCTTGCAGCCTGTAAACTGCCTTCAGAGAAAAAAACCTGGACAACCTTAGAATTTACCTAATCTTCTCCTTTCTCTCAGGGATCACAGTGCTGGATCATTTATGTTCTAGCATCTGAAAACTGTTTTATATGGTGTGTTCTGGTACTCTGTTTTTTCAAGACAGAAGGATAATCCCAGTCCCTATTAGTTCATCTTAGACAGGAACAGAAGTTCTACTCATTTTGAGTAAAGGGAATATCTTAAATAAATTTTTAAACTAAGGCAAAGAATCACATAAACAGAATTATTGCAATTATAAGAATGCAAATAACTTTATGGACTGATTAGTATCTTGTATAATCTCAGGAGCACTAAACATTGAGTAATTTGCATAACAAATAATTAAAGATATTTTTGTGCTCTGTTTCGTCAATGCTATTAACGGAGAAGTCCTAATAATTTCCATTTTGAAATCATTAAAGAACATATTTCATTGATCTTTCAGAAAATGCTTCTTTCAGATTAATGTCCATATTTTAAAATTTGGCGATAAGTGGAATTTATGTTGTTTTTCTATAGTAGAATATGCTATTTTCCCTAGATACACGGACCCTGGCACCAATAACCAAGACAGAAATAAGGAGCTATTTTCCAGAAAGCTGGTTATGGGAAGTTCATCATATCCCATCGGCTACAGCAAGGTAGTTTTATTTACTTTCAGCAAGTAAAGCAGGCAAGGGAGTCATATCCGAAGCTCTGCCTCCAAAGTAGAGGCTTAGCCATTGCTTATATATACTGTTTGGTCAAGTACATGTTGATTTCTTCTCTGAGTTCGGCAACACTTACCTGGTTGTGTTCTTGTCAAGCTTATCCCATTTACAGCTGGTTGCAAAATACTGTGCTACACTTTAATATTTAGCAAGAATAACATTTAGTAAGAATGGCTCAGACCTTGAAAGCCTTGTCCTATCTAACAAAGGTATTATATTTCATTGGCATTCCTTTGAAAAATGTGAGAATTTTCAAGTATTATGGACAAAAATCTGAAGACTACTCATTTCCCAATAGTTTATTTAAGGGTTAAGATGATACTACCATTTGGCCAAATGTTTTTTGCTTCACTTTTCTTTTTCCTAAATATGTGCTTTGTTCTAGTAATTGAGTCCAAGGCAGAATTAACTCTTGAGGAAGAAGAGTTCTTTCTATTCATTTAATTTCACTTCTCTTCAGTAAGCATTAACTGAGCACAACTGTGCTACACACTGTTAAACAGCCCTTTTTATCCTGTAACTATAAAACAAATGTTGATTAATAAGAAGAAAGTTTTTTTTCTCATTAAATTCCTTTATTCAACACATTTTTATAGAATGCCTACTTGGTACCAGGCACTGAGAACAGTGATAATAATGCCAAGTCCCTGACCACCACCATTCCTTGCAGGGCTCAAAGAACCAACTTTTCAAGGAACCATCAAGGCACTGAGTCCCAAGCTGGGCATCAGTTTTCCAGTGGGTCTCCTTGTCTCTACCTTTGTCACCTCTAATTCATCCTGCACAGTGTTGTCATTTCACCTGACATTGCCCCTTGGCTAGCACTTCTCTGCTAAGCCTCCCCCATCACTGTTCCCTACCCTACCAGTGATTGGATAAATTGCTTTTTCTGATTAATTCTGTTGCATGTATCACAGTATGATAATAGCCAATTTACCTGCCCATCTTCCACATTAAAGTGTAATTACCTCCAGAGCAAGCACTAAATTCAGATTACTGTTTTATATCTAGGACCTGGCATAGTCTGTCTGGCTTGTAGAAGCACTAAAATAAATGCGTTGAATAAACGCACACTGCCTCTGAATCTTTTAATGCTTTACTGGTACAGTTATTACAGTGCATTGCATATTATTTACTTAACTGTTTTTTCTACTACACTGTAAACTACTTGAAGGCAGGACTATATCTTCTAAGTGCTGTATACTCAGCACTATGCCTGACATAAAACTGGTAGACAGTAGCTGTTGAATAAAATAAATCCAAAAACTTAATCTTAATCAGAAATTTTTAGTTATGTCAACTTTGTTATGAGCACTATTAAGATGTTTTACTTTGCTTACCTATTTTAGAACATACTACCCAATGAACATAATTTTTCTTTGTTTTTTATGTTTCAAATTTACAATGTTTCAAAGGCATCCTTTGGAATTTGAATTCTCATCATACAAGTGAAAAATCTAAAAACATAAAACCAGTAAGAGAGTTACAGAATGTATGTTTCTTGCTTGATTTTCCTTAATACCTGATGTACTTATGTTTTGCTGTGATTTTTTTCCTTCTTCTAAAGTAGTGTGTAGGAAAAATTCTGCTAATGAATGTGGTCCAGTTGGGTTAATTAATGTTTCACTGTATTTGAACATTAACGTTTTAACTTTCAGAAAGCAGTTGCAGTTTGTGTTACCTGATTCTCTAACTACCTGGGAAATTCAAGGTGTTGGCATTTCAGATAGTGGTAAGCAAGTTTAAGTTATATATACATTTAAGGAGTGATTTGATTATCAAAATGTAGTTTGATAATTTGTCCTAATGGTTACATTTAAAAAATGCTGTATTTTTGCCATCATTTAAAAAATACGTAGTTATTTGGTTGTTGTCTGTTTATCAGTAGTTTACCCGGGACTTAAGTGGTGACATTTTAAAAAATATTCTTTTTAATATACTACAAAAAGACTTAGATATGCCCACATTTTTTACCATATCAATTTCCTCTTTTGCTCCTCTCTCAGCCATCATTTAATAAATGCTGATGTCAAACCCTTATTTTCCTTCATTTATCTCAGTGACTAGGAGCTTGAGTAGAGTTAGAAACAAATATATGAATGCTCTCCTGAGCTGATGCCTTTGTATGGAGAATTAGTGCAGATACTTTATAAATAACTTCAGGATTGGTTTTATTTGTTTGTTTCCTGTTTTTTTGTTTTTTATAAAATCTTGGTTTCCACAATCAAAATTTTATACCCATTAAATGGGATTTGGTGCTTTAGTTGAAAAACTCATACCTTAAACAGAATTCAATATTTGTTGGACAAATACAGTTTTCTGTTAATACCAATAACTAATGAAATAAAGATTAAGGAATACAAAATTCAAGGACATGGTATGATAATGATGAAAAAACATAATCTAATTTTTTTTCTTGAAGCAAAGCAAATGTAAGACATTTTAATACGAATAAAGTATTAGAGGAATTCCCTAATATGCTTCTACTTTGCTTTTACTTTGTGCTGAAGGTATATGTGTTTCTGATACTGTCAAGGCAAAGGTGTTCAAAGATGTCTTCCTGGAAATGAATATACCATATTCTGTTGTACGAGGTGAACAGATCCAATTGAAAGGAACTGTTTACAACTATAGGATGTCTGGGATAAGGGTAAGTATGTAGCTATGATATGTACAAATAAATGAAAAAAAAAGAATTCTCTTTCTGAGAATTCTATTAATGGAATTATCACAGATACAAAAAAAAAAAAAAACCAAAACTCAACTCAGCCCAACATTTATAAACCAATATGAACCAATAGGTTTCTTTAATTACGCTGCACCTACCCTGGTTGTTTATGTTTCTGAAGAGTGAGAAGGAACTTTTCATTTTCTAGAAATTCCTCAAAATTAGTTGAGGAACTAATATTGACACTCTTGAGAACAATGTTAGCACTCTTTTTTGTTTCCCTAATTAACTTATTCTGGTTATTATACATTTTTTTGGAGGGTATTGTTCTCAATTCTGTCAGTTCATTAGATTTTGGAGGGGAAATGAAAAATATTCACTATTTGAGCCAGAAGTCAGTAGCTACTGTTGTTATCCCCACTACAAATATGGGGAAATGGAGAGTGAAAGAAGTCTTACAACCTGCTCTCATCACATAGTAAGAGGCAGAACCAAGATTTGAACCTAGGTCTTTCTGGTGCCAGAGTCTGGTTGTAAAATTAGGTATAAGTGGGAAGATAAGATTAGAAAATTAACTTGGGGACATATTGGGCAGGGCCTAGAATGCCAAGAGATGGAGTTTTCAGTTTTTCATAAAACTGTTTGTTGAATACCAAATAGTGAGCTAAAAGATATGAAATGAGTAAGAAAGAGTGCCTGAGCCTGGGGTTCCCACTGTCTAAAATAAAAAGAGACAATGTAACAAGTGCTATCACAACAACATGAACAAAGAACTTCAGTAGATTCACCCCTGACTTAGTAGGTAACAATGTAAGGAAGAGAAGGTATTTCTGAGCAGTGCTAAACTTTCTAGGCACCCCTTCACATTGCTAAGGTACAGCAACTCATATGTCTGTTTTAGAAAATCTGAAATGAGCTTTCTTCTGTGCCTTAGAATCCAAGGGATTATTTAACACTGTAAAAGTATCAGGGGAGAGTTTGTGTCCAGATTAACACAGTCCGGGCATACTTTCCTTATCATAAAATATTTTGATGTAATTGTCCTTTGGTCATATTTCAGTTCTGTGTTACAATGTCTCCTGTGGAGGGAATCTGTTCCTCAGGAAGTCCAACCACTGACAGTCAGGGGAAAAAGACCTCCAGATGTCTGCGCCAGACAGTAGAGGGCTCCTCCAATCATTTGGTGACCTTCACCGTGCTTCCCCTGGAAACTGGCCTCCACAACATCAGCTTTTCACTGGACACTACACTAGGAAAAGAAATCTTAATAAAAACATTACGAGTAGTGGTAAGAAAAACATGTTTTGCCTGATTCTTTCAATACCACTTTTTTCATTCTGGAAGCAAGTTATCAGCAACCATATGCTTAGTAATTCAGAAAGGGACACAGAAAATGATCACGAACATGTAACAAAATGTTAACATTTGGGGAAATATGGGTGGAGGTTACCTCAGATCCTTTTTGTACTATTCTTGTAAATTTTTAACTCTGAAATTATATTTTTTAAAATTTAAATAACACTTACTTATTGTAGAAAATATAGAATACTGAAAAATAAAAAAAAAATAAAGCCACTGATAAAACCTACAGCCAGAAGATATCCAATTTTAACAATTTGGAATAGAATCTTCCAGGTCCCCCCCCCCAACACATTTAGAAAGTATGTTATTTAAATCTCTATGTGTGCCAGATATTATACTAGCCCCTAGAAATTTAAATAAGATATGCCCATGCATTTATACTGTAGAATTTATAGTCTAGAAAATTTTCCTTTTTATAAATGAGTAAATAAAGAGGCCACAAAAGGAAGAAAACTATCATGTTTTAAGTACTATTTACCCATACAGTCTGTTGAGTGCCTTAAGGTTCCTGCTCCGAGTCGCATGGCTAGTTAATGACAGAGCAGTGTCTTCCATGAATCCACAATTTGGGGTACAGGAAAGAAACTTTATTCAGTGCAAAACAGCTCATTGTAATATAGCACAGCTATAAAAACAGCATGGCTCTGAGGCAGCCCTAGGGCCAGCTGTTCCTGGGGTCAGGCCCTTCTCCAGCAGGAAAGCTCTGTCTGCTCCTTGATGGTTTGGTTTATCCTGCGCTGGTCTGCTCCTCTGTGATTCGGCCTCCTCCCTTTTGTGCCAGTCTGCTCTGTCCTGCATTGGTCTGTTCTGCTCCCAGGTCCCAGAGTCATCTCCAGTGCTTCAGCTCAGACATCAAAGCGCAACTTTCAATCTTCTGGAAAGGGAAAGTGTGCTCTCAGAGCTAGAGAGGAGCCGGCTTATATGGACAGAAGTCCTTGCCTCTGCTCCCTGATTGGCCTATTCTCATGCAAATGAGGACTCCAAATCTTCACAGTTTGATTACTCCAAAAGGCACTGTCCTGATTGGTCAGAATAGAGCCACTCTAGTTGGTTAGAGCTGTGCAGCTTCAATTGGATGGAGAAAGACTCAATCCTATTGGTTGAAATAAGAGTCCAGGAACTCCTTTATATGGGCTGACTCAGATGGCAGAAACACAGTGCTGCTGGGCAGAGGCAGGCAGTTCAGCATCGGCTTCTCCCTGGCGCAGTTTGTGTGAGAGGCCCCTGTGTGCAATGGCTGCTAGGGTCTTTCTTTTTTTTTTCTCTTCTTTTTTTAAATTTGAGCCCAGCTAGCCACCCGGAGCCCTTCTTAGTAGGTGTTGTCTTTCTCAGGGTTCACAGTTTTCATTCTTTGAGTTCTGATGTCAAACATAAAATTCACTTCATATATCAACATATTTTATGCAAGGCTTGTTCTATGCATCCTTGCACAGTGGTCCCATGCACAGGCCCTGGAGCCAGGCTCCCTGAGCTTGAATCTTGACTCCACCACTTCCTAGCAGTGTACCATTGGATAAGTCTCTTGATCTCTCTGTGTCAGCTTTCTCCTCTGTCAAATGGGAATAATAATAGCACCTATTTCATAGAGTATCTTTGTGGTTAAATAAGCTGATACATACAAAGCACTTAGGTCAATATTGCCTGGCTTATAATAACTTCTGTTTTGAGTGTTTGCTCTGATTACTATGCAAATTGCCAGGAAATCTTATTTTTGCATGTATGCATTTAAGTATTTAAACATACTTTGCCTTCTCTTCCCCAAAAAGGATTTTTTTAATTGGAAAGGGGTCTAAGAATTCATGTCATATATATATAATTATGTTCTTAACTGAATGTTTTCTGCCTTTATTTTAGCCAGAAGGTGTCAAAAAGGAAAATTATGCTGGTATTACTCTGGACCCAAGGGGTATTTTTGGTAGGCAAAATAATTTTGTATTTTATGTGTCATCTTTTGTTCTAGAAATTATGGTGTTATATAACTTGAAACACTATTTTTCAAAATGTTAATTGTCTAGAATCAGGAATGTCCACTTCTTAGTTCATTGCCATTCTTGATAGCATGTATTGTACTGTAATCTGGATGGGTTTAGAACAAAGAAAAATAATTCCATTAGTTTTAAATGCAAAGCATTGAAATACTAATAATTACATGACTTCCCTTCAATATTAATCGTTTTCTATCCAACACAATAGTAACTGTAGTATTTTCATTGTGCTATCAGTCCAAAGAACACCTAAGAAAAAGTCATTTACATACTTAACATTCATTATTTGAAAATACAATAATGTTGATTAATCACTTTACAAGCCATTCCTTGTTTCTGTTTCCCTTTTTTCCTTTAATTCAGATATTCTGAATCTTCTCAAAGTTAGAATTTTTGCAAACATTTGAGCATTTAAGGCCTAAATATATTCTCTACTTATGAAATTTATAATGTGCTCAGTTGACAGTTCTTTTCAAGAAAAAGAGACAAACTTCTGTAGTTCTTATTAAATGGTTAGTGTTTGCTTTGTTGTTGCATTGAATCGGGTTTTTTTTTTTCTTTCAGTGATATAACAATGAGGATTTTAAAAAAAGGTTTACGTCAGAGTGCCATTTCCTCTGGGAAAGCAAAGAATTAAGACCTTAACATTTTAAACTAGCTGAATATCGTAAATTGAGTAAGGACTTAAATAGAGTAACAAAAAGAAATTCATCCTACATTTGTGTATCCATACACTAGCATCTTTCTCTAATTTTATCTGCACACAGTCCTCCTCCCAGCTTGCCCACTGTCGGGGATCTGTGGGAAGATATATCACAAGTTCAAAGGGTTTTAGCCTCGCACGGTTACATCATGACTCCAACCTTTGTACCCTTTGGTTTTTCTTTTTACGCTTGTGCCTCCTATACTAACATTATTGCAAGCAGCTTTCCAAAACAGTCCTGTCTTACCTATCCTAGGTGTGAACATCAGAGCCACAAGACAGGAATGAATGATCTTTTATCTGGGAATAGATCTCCCCATCAAAAATCTTGGTTAAAAAAATTCCATGCCTCTTTCCAACCTTGTCATATGACTTTTTCCCCTTATCATTTTAGATAACTTAGGCATCTTTGTTACTTTCTAGAATGCTAAATAGGGTAAAGATGGCAATCAATTCTGTCCAGTTTATTTCAGAGCTTTTATTAAATACTTCCGATACTTAAATATTGGAATTGCTATACCAGAATAGGACTTTATAGAGTTCTTTTTTTTTCTTAATCCTCACGCAAGGATACGTTTATTGATTTTAGAGATAGAGGATTGGGGGAGGCAGAGAGGGGAAGAGTGAGAGAAAAATCAATGAGTTGCCTTCTGTACAGGCCCCAACCAGGGACTGAACCTGAAACCTAGGTTTATGCCCTGATGGAGAATCAAACCTACAACCTTTTGGTGTACTAGACGATGCTCCAACCAACCGAGCCACATAGCCAGATCTAGAGTTCAGTTTTTTTAAAGAGCCACAATGTATTTGGAAAAGTACATGGACAATAATATTAGAAGACATCTGAAAAATGTATCAGTGAGGGAGAATAAGGTATCAGAAGAAATTGTAAATTAATAGTAATTAACATTGTGGAGTATCAGCTTAAAAGAGACTAAACACAGACTCAATACTCAAGACTAGTCTTGGTTGTTAGTTTCTACTTTCTCTCTCTGATAAACTCTTTTCCCCTAACTTTTTTGTATCTCAGATGCAGAGCTTAGCTCCCTACCCCCACCCAACTTCCTGGCACACCATCATCATTGGTCTGGGCAGGCCCCTCTCATGTTTTATTTCCTCTTTTCATTCCTAACTGCCACTCCCATTTTCCTTCCTCCAAATGCACCCACTCAAATATGCTTTCTTGATATATGTATCTTTGAGTAGGGACTCAATGTTGGTTTCTATGTGCATGCCTTTTTAACATACAAAAGTTAATGTGCTATACTGTTCGTTTTCCTAAGTTTTTAAACATAATACTGTTTTAAAAAAATCACTATTTCTATATGTACATTTAATTCACTGCTTCTTACACAGTATTTCAAAGTATAATCCACCATTATTGGTGGATTCCCCACTACCATGAAGAAGGCTGCAGTGAACATCCTATGCATCTCCCTTTGAGAATCTGTGTGAACATTTATCTGGACTATGTTTCTACGAGTGGGACTGCTGGATCAAAGGGCATACATATATTGAATGTCATATGCTTCTGTCATATTTGTCTTCATACTGGCTTGCACTATTTACACTCCCACCAGCACTGCATGAGGGTTTTCGTATTTCCACACCCTCACCAATGCTTGGTATTCCTTGTCTCTCTAAAATGTGCTACTCTTAAGGGGTAGAAAGTGCTATTTCTTTATTGTTTTAATTTGGATCCTTCTGATTACCAGTGATTTTAAATATTTTTTCATATAGATGTTGGCCATTTGGGCTTTCCCATCTATAAATTGCCTAGTCCTATCTTTTATACTTTTTTTCTATTTTCTATTTGGGTTTTCTTGTCTATTTCTTATTGATTTTATTTCTGGTTTACTTTGTGCAATAATGAGCCATAGTGTGTTTTGAACAAGAATCCTTTATTCTGATATAGTCAAATTCATTATAATTTCATTGTATTATTTTATATTCGGTGGGTAATTTTTAAGAAATCTCTCCATGCTGTTTGCAAAGATATTTTATGTTATTGGTTTTACAGACTTAACTTTTAAATGTTTTAATTTCTCTGGCATCTACCTTTCTATGGGACATCTCGATGAGTTTTTACCACGATCTCTGACAAGAGAATAAAAGTGACTTCTTTTGGTTTTAGCTTTCTCTTCTGTACCTTTTCCATCTAGTAGCAGAGTTGATAGTGAAATTGAAATAGTCAAGTGCAGGTATTGATGGAAAAAAATGATGGAGGATCAAATTAAGATAATTTGAAACAACCTACTGTCATTAAGTACCATATATAGTGCATGAGCTATTTACCAGATTTTTGGGTTATATTATTTTTACCCTCACAAAACTCTTTTGAGGAAAATACTATTGCCTCTGTTTAACTGATGAGCAAATCAAGGCATAGAAAGATTAAGTGTCTTGCCCAGTGTCACATAGAGATTGTGCCCTTTCTGAACTCCATGCTCTTTTCAATCACACTGTAAACCTCTTAAATGTCCCCATTGAGTTTATTTTAATATTATATCCTCAGCACTTATCAAAGATTAATGAAGAAAGAAGTTATCTGAGGAATGTTCCTTCTGTCTGTTCTGCAAAACCACATAGCTTGTCCATTAAATTGCAAAATGTCACTATTTTTTTTTTAAGCATCTGCCATATGCTAGGGACTGAATTAAGTTCCAGGACTACAGCATTCAGCAAGGAATGGTTTCAACCCTTACAGAGCTTTCTTAGCAGGACAATGGGAGCTAGAGTCTCTCTGTGGTGACTACTATGGGCTATGCAGTAAAACTTCTGGAGTTCAGATCACAGATCTATCTGTAGTAGCTCTGCGACCTTGAGCAATTTGCTTTCTAAGCTCGGTTTCCTCATCTATAAAATAAAAATAATAATAGACCCAACATACAGAAATGCTGTGAGGATCCAATGTAACAATGCACTTAAGGGACTTAGCAGAGTCCTTGATGTTCTATGAGTAAAATGGTAAATATTATTATCATCTTTATGAAATAAACCAGTCATGATGATAGAAAAATGCTCTGGTACTGGTATGCTAAATCTCTGTTATTGTGCATAGAGAAAAAGTGTCTAAATAAGACTAAGAAGAGGAGGTGGAAAGAATTTCAGGCATATTTCCTAATGGAGCTAATCTTCCTATTTCCTTGACTAAGGAATTACATGTTAGATTTCAATCCTAAGAAAAATTTTTTCTTTGAACAAAATAGCAATCTCACTTTTACTGGTGAATAATATTTATATAACCTATTTATTTCCTATCTTGTAATGACCAGGAAGCTTACAGTCAAATTTAATGTTTTATTTAAAAAGATTACATAAGCCTAGGGTTTGATAAACATCCTTGATTATTTTTAACTTCCTTCCAAAATTTTAATATTGTTATTATAAAATTCTTTTATTTAAAAGAAATCCTTAGAGGTAACTATATTATAAATAATCTGCAAATACTCTTCCCTCAAGCACTCTGTGTAAATCTAAGTTTTGTTGGTTTTTTTGAATTTCAGGTGTCAGTAGCAGACAAAAGGAGTTCCCATATAGGGTACCATTAGATTTGGTCCCCAAAACAAAAGTCAAAAGGATTGTGAGTATAAAAGGTAAATTAACAAATGCCATTTTTATTTCTCATTTCACTTTGTACTTCAAACAGAAATCAAATATCCTCATGATTATTTTATTTCTCCTCTTTTCTACTCACTAGCATATCCAAATTTACCTCTGGGTGTACCCGGCTCCCATTCCCACCTTCAAATCCCAGACCACTTTTCCAACTATCTTCTTCCACTGGCCCCATTTAAATGGAGATTTATTCTCCATGCTGGAGGTTGGGGGCTGTCACTGGCCCAAAGATTTGTCTACTTCGGGGGTTCAGCTGCTTCTGGACTTAAGAACTTCCATGGCCTTAGGGCTAGTCCTGATCCAGAGAATGCTTTCTGAACTGTAAATGGCCCCCAAACAGCAGCACTGCTGTGCTAAACTACCAGCCCCAGAAGGGTTCTCTCCCCTTGAATGCATTTGCAAAAGTGGTATCTTTGGTGGTTTTTCCCTGCCTCTAGCCTTTATGATTCAATGACAGATACGTTATCAATATAATAGACAGTCCAGATTACACCTTATCACTGATAAAAACCTTAGAACCACTGAGTGTTGGTACTGCAAAGGGCTTTTTCAATCATGTGCAACTGTGTTGTTGCGTATATAAGAACATGGTTTGCTGAGGGTCGCGCAGTGAATTGTGGATAGGGCCCTCACAGCACTCACAGAGTGTTCACAGTTCAGGTTCTTTGCTTCGCTTTGTGGAAGCAACTAATTAATAAGATTTATAACATCTAACATTATCAAGTTGAATGGCAACTAATTTGCCGCATACTCTATGCAGTAATCTTCCTACTGTATTTTGCTGGCCTACCACCATGGAACAGCAGAAGTGTTAAGCCCTCTTTTAGTGTTTCTTTTAAATTTAGCTTCCTAACCAGATCCCTATTTTTAGCTCCCCAGTTCTGAGAAGTAATTCAACTGCTTAGATAAAAAGGAAAGAATAAGGATGCTTGCTCTTATCTCTGTTTAAAGTATACTGTTACTCAGAAATTCATAGAAATTGATTGTCTACTTTGAATTTTGTGTATGTGTTTCAGGACTGCTTATGGGTGAGATCATTTTTACAGCATTGAGTCGGGAAGGCATTGACATCCTTACCCACCTCCCCAAGGGGAACGCAGAAGCGGAGTTGATGAGCATTATCCCAGTATTCTATGTTTATCACTACCTGGAAGCAGGAAGTCATTGGAACATTTTTCTCTCTGATTCATTAACTGAAAAACAGTACCTGAAGAAAAAATTAAAAGAAGGTAAAAAAAAAAAATCCATTTCTTATATTGTACATAACATTTTTGTGTTTTTTAAACTAATAGTTTAATTAAACTATTATTTATGTTGTTATGAATTCTACAAAAGCTTAATTATAAAAGCATTTCAGCAAAAAACATCATAAAGCAGACTGCACTATATGTATAAATACTATCTGCTGTTGCACTTTGGCTTAACTTCCTAAAATGCCTGGATAAGAGTCAAGACACCTGCATTCCAAATCTACAGAGCACTTCCTTCCTTGTTGAATGAGCTCAGAATGTTTTACTTGATAATTCCCAATTTAAGTGATTTGTATACTTCATTTGAGAAGTTCATTGTTGTCCACACACAGAGCATATGCTTGCTGCCCAACACCAAGAGAAATTTACCACTCCCAGGGGCTAATAAAGCACTCTTTGAGCAGAAATGGAGGTCACTGAAGCACTGTCTTTTTCTGATGCCTCTTAGGGATGATAAACATCATGTCCTACCAAAATCCTGACTATTCTTATAGCATGTGGAAAGATGGACAAGCTAGTACTTGGTAAGTAGAAGGTTTGACTTGCATTTTATACATAGTGTTGATTAATTAACTGAAGAATAACAACCCTAATGGAAACTTTATTTGTCTAGTTGCTCAGGCCAGAAGTTTAGTCATCCTTCACTGCCTTCTTTCTCTTCTAAGCCACATCTGATCCAGCAAATACCTTGGCTGCACCTTCAAAATATACCCTGAATTTAACTGCTTCTCATCAACTCTACTGTACCATCCTGGCCCAAGCCATTCTCATCTCTCACCTGGATTATTGCACTAGCCTCCTTCAGGCTTTTTGGCTTCAGCTCTTGCCTCTCATCAGTTTATGCTGCATAGCATCTGGAATTACCTTGTTAAAACATAAGTTAGTTCATGCCATTGGAAGCCATTCAGGAGCTTCCCATCTCACCAGGGTAAAAAACAAAGGTCTTACTGTGATCTACAAGGCCCTCCATGGTCTGGCCCCACCTCACCTCTCTCTCTGCATTCCCCTCTACTCTCTTTTATTCCACTAAAACCCCAGTGACCTTCCTGTTGTTCAGCATTCTTTCAAATTCAGGGCCTTTGCACTGACTGTTCCTTCTGCCTGGAATGCTTCCCCCAGGTATCAGCATGGCTTTCTTCATCACCTCCCTTAAATCTTTTCTAAAAGTCACCTTTTCAGTGAGGCCTCTGCTAATCATTCTACTTAAATTGTACCCCACTCCCATCCCAACACTTTATTTCCTTCTCCCCAACTTTCCTTTTCTCCTTAGAATATATTATTAAAATTCTTTTTTAATCTTTTTAAAAATATTTATTTATTGATTTTAGAGAGAGAGAGGGAGGGAGGGAGGCAGAGAGAGCAAGCAAAAGAGAGAGCAAAACATCAATTTGTTGTTCCACTTCCTTATGCATTCATTGCTTGCTTCTTATATGTGCCCTGACCACAGATTGAACCCACAATCTTGGTACATCAGGATGATACTTTAGCCAATTTAGCTACCTGGCCAGGGCTAATCTTTCCTAATTGAATTTATTGGGATGACAATAAAATTATATAGGTTTCAAATGTACAGTTTTATAATATATCATCTGTATATTGTGTTGTGTGTTCCTTATCCAAAGTCAAGTCTCCTTCCGTCACCATTTATCCCCCCTTTACCTTCTTCTACCTCCCCTCACCCTCTTTCCCTCTGGTAGTCACTATAGTTGTCTGTGTCTATGAGTTTTTATTTTTTGCTTAATCCTTTCACCTATTTCACCCAGCCCCCTAATCCCTCTCTCCTCTGACTGTTAGTAATATTCTTACTTATCTCACTTATTGTCTGTCAGACAGCCACTACAATGCAATCTCTACATGGGCATTTCAAAGTATACCTAGCACCTGGTATATATCTGGCACATAGTAGGTACTCAGTAAGTACTTACTCAGTGAAGTATAGTAACTTCTATAATCCTGATGATTTTGAGGGAAAGATAGTCTGAATTAATTAAATCCATGTGGGAATCTAAAATACTGTCATGCTTTAACAAAGCATTTACTGAAAACACAGTATGCCATGGCTTTGTAGGTTCTACAATATGGAAAACGGTTTAAAGAGTTTACAGTCTAGAATAATTGACTTTTAGATTGTGCCCTTTAACTCTTGAGAGGCCTAAGGATTTCATCCTGGACCCTCTTATCTTCTGCAATGTCTCCTTTTACAATCTCACCTTTGCCTATGACTTTTGTAACTTCTATGCAGGTCATTCCCTAATAGATACCTCAAGGCCTAACCTCTTTCTTAAACTCCAGATCCACATTTCTGGGGTGTGGGAGCCAGAGGCCCTTCAAACACAATCTGTGCCAAATTCTTTCTTTTGTTTCTCTGCTCCCTTACTCAGTGCACAGCAATACTCTGTACTTTAACTCTGATTTGACTCCTCCCCTTCCTTTTCGCTCTACATCCAATCAGTCACGAAGTCTTACAGATTGTACCTTAGAAGTGGGTCTAACCTTGTGTGGATGGCACATTTTAAAAGACGTGTAGATGCCTACAGCATGCCAACCAGAAAGTAACTACCAGGACACAATGGGTGGGTATTGATCCAGACTGGAAACCTCCCCAGCAGGAGCTGGGAACTAAATGCCTGGAGAACAGAATCCCTACAGGAAGATAAAAATGGCCTTTCAGTTAACACCCAGAGCCTCTCAAGAGTTCCAGACAAGACTGAGCACATGGTGTTTCAGCCAGAACATAGAAGCATTTGTGTACTGTCCTAGACCTAATCCCACAAGTTCCTTGAGAGAAATATATACATAGAAAAAAACGACTTGTACCTGAATACTTTAAAAAAAAATTAGGGTTGACTTTAGCTCAAGCGGTTACTTCGTCGTGGCAGTTACTAAAAAAAATGGGCGGGGGGGGAGGAATAGGCAAAAAGTACAATGAATATATATCATTATTTTTAAAAAGGAAAATGAAAACAAAATTTTTAAGTGAGGGAGGAAGTCAAGTGTCTCAAAGGCATCTGAGGAGCTAAAGACCGGGCAGGTCCAGAGTGGCTGAGTGACTGAGGGGAGGACAGGAATGAAGGTGTAGAAGGCGTTGTGGAGGTTGTGTATTAGATCCTCTCTGATATTGTTTGACAGATATTAGTAAAGACTTAAATTGCTTTTTGACTGAGTAATTATGATAATTAAGGCTTCCTTGTGAGGTGGAGAGTCCTGAGTCAATGGCATAGCTCAAGGGGACGTGGAGAAACAGTCACATGGATGTTGGGAAAGGGCGTTCAGGCCTCAGATAGGGATTTAGATTAGATAGCTTATACAAATTTTACAATCTAGAATTTTGTGATTTTACTCTTCCACATGTGTTCAAGGGTCAGTGCCCTGAGTTAATACTATGTGTTTCACCACTGTTGTCTTTAACTTAGTAAATTTTTTTATCATCAGGCATCAGTTTTTAGTTTATGTGCAAGCTAACAATGTTGCAGTCACAGAAGATGTGTAGCTCATATTTGCTGACTGAATGTTTTTGGAGATCTTCCTAAAATCTTCCCTTCTTTTGTAAAATGGTGGCAACTTACTTCGAAATTGCATGTTTTAAAATGTTACTGTCTTTTAAAGAATAAACACTGGCCCTGGCTGCGTAGCTCTCAGTTAAAGCATGAACCTGATATGCCAAGATTGCGGTTTCAGTCCCCGGTCAGGGTGCAAACAAGAATCAACCAATGAATGCATAAACAAATAAGCAGAACAACAAATCAATGTTTCTCTCTCTCTTCCCCCCTTCTCTCTCTCTCAAAATCAATCAATAAGTTTAAAAAAATAAACACTGTATTAACTAAAACACACTGTAAATTGAAAACCAAAAGGGATTCAATGTCTGAATGTTTATTTATTTGATTTTGTCTTAAAGGTTAACAGCTTTTGTTTTAAGAGTTCTGGGACAATTACATAAATATTTACCTCAGGACCAAAATTCAATTTGTAATTCTTTACTGTGGCTGATTGAGAACTGTCAACTATCAAATGGACCTTTCAAGGAACTTTCCAATTATCAACCGATAAAATTACGGGTAAGGAAACCAAATGTACAGGTTAGCAATAGTTTTATTTACAAGTTTGAGTTTCATTCTTATTTTATTTTAGGAGGAAAAAGAGATGAAAAAAATACATGTAATCCTATAAGAAACTCCTCTTGTATACAGGCAAAGAATTTGGCCTTTTCACACTGCTTTTCAGACTACCTATTACAGGTCAGATAAGTGATATCTTAGACATCTCATATAACAGGCATTGTTGGTTTATAGGGAGGAAGTGCTAGAGATCTGTAAATGAGTAAAAGGCACTAATCTGTCCACGTACCCTTGGTATGAAGTCTGTATGAAGTTCAGAGCCTTCTTACAGGTTCAGGCTGCAAGGTATTGTTGTGACAGATGGGAGGGACTCTGTTTACGCTCTGTTGGAAAGAGAGATTCATAAGGAGTCAGATTATTACAAAGTACAACAAAGAGTTGTTTGAGATTTGAATCTATTCATATGCTTGATATACAAAGTAATTTCAATATTGTTCTAATATATTTTACTCCTTAGAATTTTTTTTTAAAGATTCAACAGTTTTGTGGTTGTTGTTTTGCCTGCCCCAATCCAGTTCTTTTAATATCAGACACGAGGGGCTCCCTGGCTAACAGGAGTCTCGTAATGGCCCCGTGCAGGACCAATAGCAGATTAGGACTCCTGCAACACATGAGGGCAACTGACAATGATATTTGAAGAGTAAAATGCTACAACAATTTTTTTTTCCTTAAAATGTCCACCCATCCATCTATCTACATTCATTCAACAACCATCTGCATTCAACAGCCTAAATTTTACTATCCAACTATCCACATCCAATTATCTACATCCAACTATCGACATTCAACAGCCATTCACTGAGCACCTAATACATGCAAGGACCTATTCTGGGCAGCATGGGGGAGGAAGAGTGGGAAGGATGGACCAGACAGTATCTCTGCCACACGGGAGCTCACACACCGATAGAAAAGTAGAGTAAAAGTACTAGTGACTCTAATCAAGGAATAAGTGTGTGTGTTCATTCATTTGTTCAATAAATATTAATTGACTGTGTATTAAGTACTACATAGCAGGGACACAACAGTGAACAAAACACGTATGATCACTGAGGTCACAGAGCTTACGATCTAGCAGAGATATTGAATAGGTAATTTCAAGTGTGTGATACATGTTAAGAAAAGGAAAATACAGTTTCATTGAAAGCAGGCGATCTAACCTAGGTTGGAAGAGTTGAAAAAAATGTGTTTCTAGGCTCCTGGGAGCTAGGTAAGAGTGGTTCAGGAAGACTCTTCCAAGTGGAGCCAACAGCATGCCTGGCATTTTTGAAGTGGCGAGAGAGGGTGGTTCATTCAAAGAGCTGGGGCCAAGAGACCTAGGGGGTGAGTGGCTTAAAATAAAACTGGAAAGGTACTAGAGGTCACTTCATGGAAAGTCTTAGAAGCATTGCATTGAAATGTCACTGCCCCATGAGAAAAAAAAAATATGAGAGAATAGTAGCAGAACACTGCTTTGTGCATTTTAACAGGGTGTTGAAGGAGAGGAAGAATTTGAATGTGGTGAAGGGGTATTAAGTAGAGCTTCAAGGTGAGGAGGCAAAAGAGAATAGGGCACATGAAGGCACAAAGAAGGAAAGACCTAGAGTTTACTGAGAAACTGCAAACAGTCCAACTGGAGTGTATGAAGGGAGACAGGGATATTAAGTTGAAAATGGAGATTAGAACCAGTTAATTTTGCTTTAAGGACACCATTTCACTCTCCTTTATCATTATTTTTAGGGTACCTTATCTACTGAAGCCCAAGAGAACACCTTGTATCTTACAGCATTTGCTGTGATTGGAATTAGAAAGGCTTATGATGTATGCCCCCTAATGGTAAGTGAGAGTTTTCTTTCTCCAGTACCTATCATCTATTTCTGCACCTCGAAAATAACTGTAACTCCAGAATAAGAATGATGATTAGAGACCACCTAATCCAACCCACTCAACAGCTGAGAAAACTGAGGCCTATTGACAGGTGAATTTAAATGTTCAGTTTTACAAGCTTCTGAATTACAGAGCTGGAACTAGAACTGGTGACTTCTGACTGTGATGAGAGAGGTGACCCAGCATCCCCAGCTGCCTTCTTTGATCTCTGCCAAATCTCGTGATCTGTATATGACTCTTATCTATAGTTGAAGCACCCTATGTCATGGAACTACTGAGGATAGACAATAGCATGTTTGCTTATTTGGGTTGTGCTGTTTCATTTGCTTAAAAGCTGAGGGGAGAAAGGAGAGGATTCACCAAAGTGAATCAACAGAAAAGATTCCAAGGGGTAATAGAGCTGAAACTATGATCTGGGAAGAGACAGGTTCCTGAGCTGAGGTTAAACACCCCTGCCTACAAATCAGAAGTAAACTAGAGAAGTCCTTGAAACCAACATGCAGAATGGAGACAGGAAAACCAAAGGGTGACAACAAACTCACAGCTATCAACAACTGACTCTAAAAAATAAAAACAAAAACAGACTACACAAACAACCAGAACAGGAACAGAATCCTAGGTATAGGGATCATTTGGAGGGTTATCAGCTGGGAGGGGAAGGAAGAGACAGGGGAAAATGGTGCAGGGATCAAGAAGCATAGTTAGTAGGAACAAAACAGACAGGGGGATATTAAGAATAGTATAGGAAAGGGAGAAACCAAAGGACTTACACGCATGACTCATGGACATGAACTAAGTGAGGGGGTGGGGATTGTTGGAAGGAAGGGGCTACCAAGCAAAGTGCAACAAATGGGAAAAAAAAAAACAAACAAACTGGAACTGTAACAGCATAATCAATAAAATTTACTTTAAAAAAAAAGAAACACCCAAAGGGATTTGTAGGACTTGAACTATAAAACAAAATAGTGTTTTTAGTTTGCTTCAAGGAAATTTTTATTTTTACTCAAGAGACAAAATAATCGATGAGAACCAGTTCCCAGGGGCCTAGAGGACCAGTTGACACCTAGCAGTACATGAGTGACGTACAGATGGAGCTGGGAGAGGAGGAGCCAGGCAAGATGTTAGCAGCGCTGCTCCACTTTCTTGCAACCACTTATTCAAAAGAACTATTTCAGTTGTCTTGGGACAAAGTAATAGAGACTATTTTTCCAGGAATCCTTAGGATCAAAAAGTACTTTGGCAGCTGAGCTCTTTTTTTCTGCTGGTTATGGTTTTATTTAGTAAAATTCCTTTTGCAAATATGAATCTGCCTCAGTTATGCTGCGGAGGAGTGATGGAAGCTGTGGCTCTACTCAGAGCTTTGTCCTCCAGGAAGCAAAGTCTGACTTGGGAAGTAGAAACTAAAGGGAATAACCTCCAGAGGGAGAGGAGAACTCAGGGGCAAAGAACTTGACCCAGTTTGGACAACCTCTTTTTCCCTTCTGCGATTATGGTCTTCTCCTTCTCTGGAAAGGATTTGCTTCAGCCAGATACCATCCATTTCCATGAGGTCATTTCTCTTTCTGCCCTTTACCTTACTTACCTCAGCATGGTGCCACCTGGTGGTAGTTCACATGAGTTGATAGGTTGAAGCTTCACAAAGAAACTTAGGTATCTTCTGTCCTTATTTCCAGAAAATCAGCACAGCTCTAACTAAAGCTGACACCTTCCTGCTTGAAAATGCCCTCTCAGCCCAGAGCACCTTTACACTGGCCATTGCTGCTTATGCTCTTTCCCTGGGAGATAGAACTCACTCACAGTTTCATGCCATTGTCTCAGCCCTGAAGAAGAAAGCTTTGGTTAAAGGTATGTGTTGTTCCATACATTTTTCAGCAAGCATTTACTGCGTATATGGAGTCTGCTCTTTCTGGGAAGTAGGTAGCAGCATGCAAAGTTGAGTAAGACACGATCCCTGGCCTCAAGAAACAAACCATCACAATGCAGTGTGATAAGTGCCATTATTCACTTATTTATTCATTCATTCAACACATATTTATTCATTCCTAAATGTAATAAATATGTATTGAGTACCTCCTATGTATACCAGGCACTGTTCTAGGCTCTAGGGATAAAGCAGCAACAACAACAAAATCCAGGCCCTCATGAAACTTACATTCTACTTAAGGATGAACAGACATGATAAATAAGTAAAGCATTGCATATAGTGAACAGGTTGATGATGACTGATATGAAGAAAAATCAAGCAGGGAAGGGAGACAGGGCGAAGTAATGGGCTGTAGTTTTTGATAGGGTGATCAGGCTTAAGCCTCATTGAGAAGATGGTATTTGAGTTGAAAGCTGAAAAGAGTGAGGTGAGGAAGCCAGCCAGTGGCTATATAGAAGCATGTTTCTGAGGGGAGAAACAGCACGTGCATGTACCCCGAGGCAGGGGCCTGCCTGGTGCCCCAAGAATGTCGAGGAGGCCAGTGTGGCGGGAGAGGAGTGAGAGGAGAGGTAGAAAGTGAGGTCAGGGAAGAAAATGGTGAAGCCGTCTTCTAGGGACTTGGAGGCCATTACCGGAGCTCTACAGGACTCCTGGATGCAGTCGTGCAATGTACAAGGCAGTCCAGCAAGCCCATGAATTGAGGCCGAAATCCAGCTTATGCTCCACTTCCTCAGCCATGCACCATGGTTTGGGTTTGCTTCCACCCTGAGCAAGGGGCGCCTGTCTCTCATTCACATCAAGGTGCTGTGGGGGCCCGCGGGAGCCCTAGAGCTTTAATTTCCATTTTAAGTAAGAAGGGAAGACACTGGAGGATTTTGAGCAGAAGAGTGCATAACTTGGCTTATATTGTACCAGGTTGGCTATAAAGGTATAGGTTTCATTTTGAAGACTAAAGGTCAAGAGTAAAGAAATGAAGAGTAACAGCGGTCATTGGCTAATGTGCCTATATCAGCACTAGCGTGGTCGGGCACCTCTTAGCTCTCTCTTGGGTGAGGTTTTCTAATCACATGAGGTTTATCACCATCTACAAAATTCAACTTCTGTCATCATTTAAAAGTGACTGAATCCTAATATATATCTCAAAAACCGCTTATATAATACTTACACTAACACAAAATAAGTGTCTTGATTATTGTAGGATATGGATCATAAAATTATAGAATTTAAGAGCTAGAAGAGAACTTAATGCAAGTAATGTTTGAGCTGGAAGTATCTTTATAAACCAAATATTTCATTCTAAATACAGCAAAATTGAGTCTCTGAGAGGGAAGGAAAACATCCAAAGTTATGCAAATAATGGAACCCTGAATTTTAAACAGACGCATTTTCACTAATCTTCAAAAATGATTTATAAATATGGCTTACTAGTTTTTTAAAAAAAATAATTTGTTTTAAAAAAGGATTTAAGCTTATACGCTTAAATTACTAGAAAAATAACAAACAAATATAATTTAGAGCCTAATTTATGAAAAGTGCTACATATATGAAATTATCTTTAGTGCTTTAAATTGGGAGCAAATAATGAAAGACTGAACTAAAGCTTTGGGTGTGATCTCACAATTTCCAGAATGTAGATCTTTTTCTGTCAAGGAATTTTCTAAGTGCTAAAAGCAATAAAGGTGTCTTGTTAATGAGGTGATTTTTGGAAAGTCTTCAGGTAACCTAAGGATGGGGGCCAGTTGCCAAGGGAACCCACCATGTGATGACAGGGTTGGAACTTTCAGTACCTGCCCACCCACAACCACCAGGAAGGGGAGAGGGGCTAGTAGCGGTGTCCAGCCTTGTGGCACCTCTGGGCCACACTGGGAGAAAAAGAGTTGTCTTGGGCCACGCATTAAATGTACAAACACTAAGAAAAACTGATGAGCAAAAAAAAAAAAGGTTTTAAGTAAACTTACAATTTTGTGTTGGGCTGCATTCATAGCCATCCTGGGCCTCATGCGGCCCCTGGGCCATGGGTTGGACACCCTGGAGAGGTTAAATTAGTCATCAGCAGCCAGTGGTTTGCTCAGTCATGACTGTGAATGAAGCCTCCATAAAAACTCAAAAGGACAAGATATAAAGAGATTCCAGGTTGGAACACTTGGAGATTCAGGCAAAGTGATGCCCCTGGAGAATGCATGGAAGCTCTGCACCCTTTCCCTGTATCTTGCCCTGTGCATCTCTTTTGCCAGCTTATTCCTGAGTTATATCCTTTTATAATAAACTGGTAATCTAGTAAGTAAAATGTTTCTCTGAGTTCTATAAGCTGCTCTAGCACATTAATCAAACCTGAAGAGGAGGGTCTTCGGAATCTCTGATTTATAACCAGTTGGTCTGAAGTACAGGTAACAACCTGGGTTTGGGATTAGCATCTGAAGTGGAGGTGGGTGGGGGGAGAACATCTTGTACTACTGAACTCTTAACCTGTTGAATCTGATCCTATCTCTGGGTAGATAGGGTCGAAATTGAGTTGAAATTTCTGACACCCTGCAAGTGTCCAAGAATTGTGTGTTGGTTTGGGGGGAAACCCCTCCCCCATTAGAAATTGAGTCTCAGAACTATCCTCTGCTACCAAAAGATGTGGACATTCCATGTTGACCTTTTTAAATCAAGGCAAAGAGCACTGTATTAAGGGATCTCATTTTGTATTTGTCATCTTGAGGAAGTTCTTACAAAAGGATAAGAAACTTCTGAAAACCAGACTGTCTCTATCGAAAGAAACTGCTAGAATTGCTGCGTGAAATTCACATTTTTAACCATATTAATCAGCATGGTTTGTTGATATTCAGGTAGTACACCCACTTACCGTTTTTGGAAAGATGATCTTCAAGAGCAAGATAGCCTTGGACCTACTACTGGTACAGCGCAAATGGTGGAAACCACTTCCTATGCTTTACTTACCTTTTTGAACTTGAAAGATAGGAATTATGTTAACCCAATAATCAAATGGCTATCTGAAGAGCAGAGGTATGGAGGTGGCTTTTATTCGACCCAGGTAATGTTTCTTTGCCTTCTTTCATCCTCCTGAAACATATTTTCTGTCTCCTTCACTGCACATTCCATACTCATTCCAGCATGTTATGGAGTAAAAGACTAGACTCAAAGGACTCTTAGTGGTTACCTGCACTTACACCTTTCCAATATAGAAGAGCCAGACAACCCTGAGAGGTTCATTCATGGAGTTAGTGGCCAAGTCAAGATCAAAACTCAGCTCCCCTGACTCCAAGTCCCATACTTCCTCTATGATCTTAATGACCAGGAGTGACTAATAAGGTTATCAACAGTTGTTTTACATCCTGTGTATTAAAGAATGGCTGCCATGTAGACAAAGATACTGATATTTCCTCCCCCAAGAATAAATAAAAAGTGACGGAAATACTGATTGTTACATGTTTACCTACCAATGTAAACTCATTGGAATATATATATTTTTTACATTATAACTATTATATAGGTGTGTAATATCCACCTATATTCAAGCTTAGTTCAAAGGTGAATATCTTCTCTATTTCCTGGATTTTTGGACAATCACAGAGTATGTATGTATATAAAGTTTAGAGCTACAGGGGTTCTTCAGGATTACTTTAGTGATCACCTAATCCTAGAGACAAATAGGTTTCATCTTGGGTACAACTATAGGCTTAGCAGGAAATAGTGACCCATTGATTAGCATTGACTGCCAAAGACACGGGCAGACAGGACAGCCATGTATTTGACATCTCTGATGTTTTTACATTTCCTGATTTTATAGAAAAGAAAAATGAGGTCCAGAAAGATTAAGTTCATTCATTTATTCCTTCAACAAATACTTGTTGAATAGCTACCATATGTGTACCTACTAAATGTAATGGATGCCAGAAAAGATAAACACTTTCCTTCCGACTCTTACATTTGAGGAGGCCAACAAGAAACTATACATAAAAATATTACAAATTGAGATGAATGCTATAAAGGACAGAAGGGGAACCTTCAATAAGGGAAAGGGGGAGCTTATTTATGCCTTCAAGCTGAAATCTAAGGATGAGAAGGAAAGAGTCATGGGAGAAGTTGGAGTTATTCTTCAAAGAGCAGCTTAGTTGTGGTCATATATTCAGGATTATGGAGAAACCTGGACCTGAACCCACACATATTTACTGTCCTTGCTAAGAGTAATGTCCTTACCGGGGAAGAACTGCCTTCCACCTCCTCAAGGGGACCCATAACCAGTTTCACTCAGTCTGCTCCACCCACTCATAAGAAAGTGATTTGCAAACAGAAAGCATATAAATAAGCTAAACCTGTTTTCATGCCTTGCTGCTTGTTGATAGGATACAATAAATGCCATCGAGGGCCTGACAGAATATTCACTCCTGCTTAAACAACTCCACTTGAATATGGATATCAGTGTTTCTTACAAGCATAAAGGTGACCTCCACCATTATAAGCTAACAGAGAAGAATTTCCTTGGGAGGCCACTAGAGGTAAATGAAAGATATTTTATAATATTTTATAGTTGGATGGGACCTTAGAAATCATTGGTTTCACCCTTATTTTACAAATGTGTCTATTCACTACTTAAACATACAGTGAGTGCCTTTTGTGCCCGAAGCCAGGGTGCCTGCTAATGTTCTCGGCAGTGAAGATTGAAAAACAAAGCACCGAGAACCTGTGTGTACGTGTGTGTGTTGGGAGCGGGGAGAGCGGTCATTTAAACAGACAGTGAAAAATAAGAGCTTGACAGGTAGATGGAAGAACAGAGAGGGACCTCCTGAGCCAGCCTGAGAGGAGGAGTTTGTCCAATGCATCCAGATGAGCAGGTTACATCTGGAAGAATTTAGCCAGGTGAAGAAAAGGGAATAACATCTCAGACATAGAAAACAGCAAGCACAAGGGCACTGCAGTAGAATAGGAGAGAAGACACACTTGGGAGTCCTTCCAAGGGGTCCATCGGGCCTGGTCATGCATGCAGACTGGGGCCAAAATGTAACTGACCTTAGGCTCTTTAACAACTTGCCCCATGTCCTTTGCCACTACTGGATTTTTAAAAATGAAAGCCTTGATGGCCTATGAGAATTTTCCAAAGAAAGGGACACACTGGAAAAACCAGGCTCTATATTAATAATAGTAGCTGACAGTATACAGCTACCAATACATATTTTTCCAATGACCACATTTTAGATTATGGTTCTTACTGTCCACATTCTCCACAAATTCATGTTTATGAAAAGTAAATTTAATGTAAAAATTGCAAACTAGTATCTCATGTGTGTGTGTGTGTGTGTGTGTGTGTGTGTGTAAAGATGGATATGGATATAGATATTGTCATGGACATATTCCAACATTTATTTATTATTTTAATCCAATCTTTGTTTATTTATTTTTTATATTTTATCCTTACCTGAGGACTTGCTTATTGATGTTAGAGAGAGAGGGAGGGAGAGAGAGAGAAAGAGAGGGAGAGAAATGCTGATTTGCTGCCCCTTGCACATGCCCTGAACAGGGACCTCACCCACGACCCAGGCATGTGCCCTGACCAGGGATCAAACCTGTGACCCCCTGGTTTACAGGACAATGCTCCAAACAACTGAGCGATACTGGCCAGGGCTAATCCAATATTTAAATCCCAAAAGCAGCAAAGCTGCTTTGGCTGAAAGGATGGTGATGAGATGGCCTTGCCACTTGCCTCATCCTCCTTTCGCACCCTCCTCCCCTACCAGGGGAGTGCTGAGGCACCTCCACACACCCTGCAGGACCCTGGATCTCAGGAGGAAGATGACTGCAAAACGATGAAAGGACTTGTCCCCGAGTGACTATTAGAATAGTTGAAATTCCACAGGAGTTCCTGGTTTTCAGCAACCTACAAACCACAGGATCTTAATACTGGCCATTGAGCAGAGCTGCAGGTCCACACACTGTGCCCTGAGATTTTTTTTGGAGGTGTTCCACTTCTAGATGTGTGTAAAAGTCTCAGGATATTTGGTTTAAATTTAAAGTTATACAGGAGTTGAGAGGGCAGTACTGAAAAATCTCCCAAACATCCAAAATATTCAAGGCTTAGGATGCCAATTATAACACCAAAGAACATCATCTCTGTAGTAAGCTTCTTTCACGAATACAACCTTTTATTTCTGAACGATACACAAATAGTCACTTTCCCAGTGTTTCAGCTTTCTAATTTTGTAAAGAGCTCTATCTGAAACCTTAGTGGTATAGAACAATACCATTTTAATATATCATGATTCTGAGTCAGAAATGTGGGTGGGGTTCATCCGTATGGTTCTTCTGCTGGATGTGGCATTGATCGGGGTGCTGGAATATCCGGAAGGTCCAAACCGGCCTCACGCATGTGGCTGGTAGCTTCCTTGACTGGGAGCTCAGTCACAACTAAGCTTAGTTACAACTAAGCCTAGTTACAACTAAGCCAGGGGCCTCCGTTCTCCTTCCTACGCCTCTCTCCAATGGCTGTTTGGGCTTTCTCACAGCGTGGCAGCTAGATTCCAAGAAGTTTTTCTAAATTTGAAAGCATATCTAAAGATCTCTTAAGATACAGATTCAGAAGTTACTCAAAGAGTCTCTTTTGCAACATATTCTTGGTCAAATGGGTCAAAGAGTCAGCCCAGGTTGAAAGAGAAATGTCAAAGTCACATTGCAAAAGAGCATGAAGGAGGAGAAAATATTTGCTAGGAATAATATCTGATTCATATCTAGAAAATACTGTATAAAGAACTTGCCCTAACCAGTTTATTCCAACATTTAAAATCTTGAGATTCAAAAACAAAAACAAACAAACAAAAAAAAAACACACACACAAAAAAACAAAACCCTGTTTTCCAAATTCTCTTGAAAAACCAAAGATCTGGCAATAAGGTGCTGGCAGTGGCTGCATCCTTCAACTTGTTACAGTCCCCAGTTATGTGACATACATAGATGCACATACATCCATACTTGCTTTGCGCCTGGGCCTCTCCAGGCGTTTGTGCTTTGGGCCCCCAGTTTGGTAGCCTTTCCCTGGGAGCATTTAGAGCTCCCCAGACACTCTCGGAGCCATGGGTCCAAGCTCAAACAAGGAGCTCCTGGCCCAGAGAGCACAGGAGCCCACCACCCGAGGAAGCTGGAGTTGTCATTCTCTTACATGAGCAATGCTGTTAAGGGCCTCTTGTCCTCTTAAAATAATTTAAACCTCAGCTCATGATGCTGCCTCTACGTGAAACCTGGGCTGTTTTTACATAGTTTGGCATTCTCTACTCCAGCATTTCCTAAAATGTGTTCCATGAAAGAAAAAAATGTTTGGTGGGAAACTCTAGTTTAAGTGAAGTTAAATAAGTTGTTTAGTACAGGATCCCCTTGTCTTTAACATGCATGCGACTAAGTGTAGTGATTGTGTGGAAGGAGCTGTGGGCACAGTAAAGTGTACAACATTTGCCAAACTTATTTGTTACTTGTTTGTCCTAAAACCCGCCTCTCTTGCAGTATCTCAGTTTACTGGCTTTCCAGTAAATGCTGCTGAATTCCACCAGGGTGAACAAGAAAGTTGACCTCTGTACCTTCATTTACTAAAATTTTCAGGAAGGGCTGAGAGCCCTTCATGAATGCCAAATACCTTTTGCTCTGGTGTTCTATGTAAAGGGAAGGACAGGCTGCAGCCTTGGAGCGAGTAAGAACCAACTTTTCAGGCCTCTTGCTCAAAATGACCTCTTTCATGCTTTGCACAAATTAGAGAGCATTTATACGATAGATTTTCTCTGGAAGGGGGAACTAACTCGGTTCGTGTCTTCACTCTCCTCCCTGCAGGGTGGGAAGAAGAGCAGCAGCACCTAAGGATTTGGCAGGCTCGGTGGGGTGCTAGGTGAACTAGGTGGGTTGCCATGGGTTTCCATTAACAGAAACCAGAGAAAGTAGGGAAAACTAGCCATTTGGAGGTGGAGTGGGTGTGCAAAGCAGAAGGTGGGAGGGGCAAACAGAGAGTGCACCTACTTTAGAGTTATGTTGAGGTTCTCGGTCCTTGCTAAGGACAAGGATCTCCTTTGGTACATAGGAGGCTAGGTACTGAAAGGAATTTGTAGAGTAGGCAGAGGAAATGAAGATCCTATTTCACCATAACCATATAAAAATCAAAAAGTAACCAAAGTGTTTTTATTTACATGTTGGTTTTGCTGGCTTATTTAGGTGACTTCAGACCTGATTTAGCTGTAGAAGAGAAAGGAAATTCCAATATTTTTTAGGGCCTACTCTGTGCGTAGGATCTTCAATGCCTTTTCCATTTAATCTCACAACAGCTTTGAGAGAGGAAGCTCGCAGGTACCAGCTCACTCTTTTCTGTGCTCTCTCCTCCCTCCCTGTTACATAATACACGAAAGCATGTTTCTCCATCTGCCTTTCCAGGTGTCTGTCAGTGATGACCTTATCGTCCGTGCTGGAAACAATGGCTTGGCTACAGTGCAGGTAAGTATTTCACTGAGAACCAACTTACCTGGAAGTTAGGTGTCTGCTTACCCTAAGTAACATACAATAACTTAGGGACTTTGCCACAAAGTTACACATGTCTGGGCTTTGGTAACTATGACTGAAGTAGGATTCATTCATCTAATCCTTTCTAGCTATCTTGATAGCTGTCCTCACAATTTCTTCTTGAAAATAGCTATTTTTATAACTTGCATGTATATAGTCTGTGTATTTGTGGAAACTACATATATAATTATATATACAGGGTTGGGCAAAAGTAGGTTTGCAGTTATTTGTATGGAAAATAATACAATAATTAACAAATAATAATACAAGAATAAACTGTGTTTCACATACTCACAATTGTAAACCTACTTTCTGCCCACTCTGTATGTATATATATATTTACAACTTTATGCTTACATATGTATAGATACATATACATGTGTGTATACACACACACATAGACATGTTTTCTATGATTAATAATATAGTCACATCTCATTTATCCAGCATCACTGGGGAGATATGTATATATACTTACTTTATTTTAGCCATAGACCGCATGGACATATATAAACAGCTTGGAAAAACTTGCCACTAAGTGGCTAAAATAAACTGAAATATGTTTTCTGAGCATACATTAACATTCTATTGATGATTATTATTATGCTCCTATCTTTCGTACATTTATTCCTTCAAAGACTGTGTCAGGGTGCATGGGCAGGGGATAGATTGTCCACTTCTCTGTCACTTCGAGTTGCTGCCAATATAACGACTCCTGGCGACGCTGCTCCTGGCCGCACACACCCATAACCTGTTGTTTACCACAGTGGTGTCCGGGTGGGAGAAAACGACCCTTCCTTGTAGTGTTATGTGTAAAATTGGAGTGTACCGTCTCAAAGACAAGAGTCTTCAAAAGTTTTCTGAAGAATGAGGTGCTCAGATTTAACTACACGGAATTTGGACCAACATCCTGCCTGGCCAGGGGTCAGTTTTTGCTTCCTTTGGGACTCTCAACTATGTGTCAGGTTGTGGAGTTGGCTAGAAGTCCAGCTGCTGAGAAAATGGTTCTTTAATGAGCACCATTTGCACTGGATTTTGAAAATGATACTTTAAACATCCATGCCATTTATAGCGGCAGTCCTACCATAATATATTTTTCGTTTCCCACTTGAAATTAAATCTTCTTGTTTACTTGTCCCAATCTAGGTAAAAACTGTGGTTCATAAAATTGGTACCTCTGAGGAATTTTGCAGCTTTCATTTGAAAATTGAAGCCCAGAACATCGACGGTAAAACAGCATGATTTACACTGTAATTTTGCCTAAGCATAAGGAATGTCAGAGAGCTTCCTTGATTAGAAAATTGTGCTTGCCTAAAAATCAAAATTTCTTAATAAAATTCTTTAGCAGGTTGACATCACAGAATAAACATTACTGCCATTTATTATAATAGAAGTAACTCTTTAATAATAGTTGGAAACTGATATTAAATAGTAACTAAACGTATGCACTATTGATCAAGAAATTGTTTTGATTAATTTACTTTTTAAGAATGAAACTAGTTGTCTTAGCCAGGTGGCTCAGTTGGTTGGAGTATTGTCCCTTACACCAAAATGTTGTGGGTTCAATTCCCAGTCAGGGCACATACCTAGGTTACAGGTTTGATCCCTGGTCAGGGCGCATATGGGAGGCAACTAATCCATGTTTCTCATGTCGATGTTTTTTTTTCCTCTCTCTCCCTCTCCGTGTTCCTCCTTTTCTCTCTCTCCTTCTCTCTCTCCCTCCCTCTTCCTCTCCCTCTGAAATCAATAAACATATCCTTGGGTGAGAATTTTAAAAAGAAGAAGAATGTAACTAGTTGTAAAGCCCCCCACCCACCCACCCACCCAGAAAGGTCTAATTTCAGATCCTTGAATTTCTGTTACTTTCATATCAGTGTTCCATTCTAGGACCCTGAATTTCCTTATCACCCTGTTGGATTTCTACCCCTTACCCTTTCCATATCCCAAGGGTTCTGGCAAATACATATTCCTCTGTCTCCATCTTCAACTTGGTCTCTCTAATACGTATGGCCTTTCATTAATGTGCCATTTTTTCTACGTGTGGCCTTCGCATCCCTCTCTGGTGGGTTAGTACTGCCCTCTCAGTCCAAAAGCAAGTTCACATACACATTCCAGCACCCCTCTCTCCAGGAGCCCATGGTCGGACTGTGTGCCACTCCTCTGTCCTGATGGCTTTCATGTGTGGCTCAGAGGCCTGTTCCTACAGGAAACTTCCCAACTACCCATGAATCCAGGCATCTGCTCTTCCTCCCTACAACCTCCCCCCGCCAAACATGTTACCAATACATATTTACCTTAAATGACTCCTTCCTTAACTTATAAATTCTTTGGGAGCAGTGAATTGTTCTAATGGTGTAAAGACTTCCTGATGTTGTCAGTAGCCACAAATTTTTTTTTATATAATCACCAAAAGTGCCAACTTCCAAATTGCAAATCATTTTTGTGTGTTCAGAGATGCGCTCATTAATGACTCTGTTCTGACAGTTTTAAAAAACAGTTAAAAATGGTTTATTCTCATTTTTGTTTGTTTGCTTGTTTATTGTTTGTGCTAGCATCCAGCTACAGAGGCACCCCATACTACATGCGCCTGGTGGCGTGTGCGAGGTAAGTGCATTTCCACCTGGGGGACTGTAGACTTCAAGAGCTCAGGTCCGCCATTACACCACTTCTTTACATCTTTTTGAAATGTAAGACGACCAGAAGATGCAAAGTAGTTCACCTGTTTAAATGTAAAACATAACAGCTATTCTTAAATAGCTATTTACTGTATAGGACAGCATTGTATTTTGTTCATATAGTTTTTCCTCCTGTTTTTGGCCATCTTCTAATTCAAGCACTGTAATTTTTTTTTTTTTTTTTTTTTTTTGGTCTTTCAGAAAGGTAGAGATGTGATGTATTAGGAAAAGAAAAACAACTTTCTCATAAGCAGCTCCTACTCTCTTATTTAGAAAGATGTCCTGTGCCTAGCAAAAGCCCTGGCCAGTATCAGCCAGTGGTTCTCGGTTCAGGCTGCACGTTGAAGACAGCTGGAGAGCTTTTAGAGCTACCCAAAAATCCAGCCTCACCTTCGGCGGCCATTCTAATAGTAGCAGGGGTTGAGAACCACTGGTACTACACCCTCTGCAGACAAATCCCAGAGGTCTAAATTGGCCACTGTATTTGTTTCCTGTTGCTGCCAAGTAACAATTTACCTACAATTTAATGCTTAAAACAACCCACATGTATTATTATCCTACAATTCAAAACCAAAGCATCATCAAAACTGCATTCCTTCTGGAGACTCTGGAGGAGATTCCTCTTCCAGATTCTGGAGGTCGCTTTGCTCCCTCCTCGAAGCCAACGGCACAGCATCTTCCAGTCTTTCTCCCTGACTCTGATTCCTGTTTCCATCATCATATCTCCTTCTCTGACTCTCCTGCTTCTTTTCCTTATAAAAAGGCCCTTGTGATTATACTGGGTCCACCCATATAATCCAAAATGACCTCCGCATCTCAAGATCTTCCATGGCATCATATCTGCAAGTCCCTTTCACTATGTAAGGTAACTAATTCCCAGGTTCAGGTTAGGAGTTGGACACCTTTAGGGGCCATTATTCTGCTTACCACTCCCACCATTCTAAAATGTTTATTAAAATGTAGGGTTTTGAAAATATGTATATTTTCCTTAGCAGTCACAGTAAGTGAGTCAGTTAGTGGCAGAGCCAGGACTAGAACTCAGGGTTCTTCCCTCTTTTTCACCGCCCCTCAGGACCTCATGTTTTGTTCTGTTCCTTTGACTCTTTCTATTCTCAATAACAGTGATTTCAATTGGTATTTTGCTGATTTTACTTATAATCACACCTGACATCAAAGCACTCAGTACGGGTAAGTTAAAAATTCCATAGAGTTGTGTTGTTAGAGCTGAAAAGAATTTTAGGGATGATACCGTAATCCCCTTAACTTAGACACAAAGATGCTGAGATCTGAAGAGGTGAACTAACCTGCTGAGTTCTGACAAAGTTAGAGACAGAGCAACGGCTTCAAACCCCATACCCTGCCAGCCACTCTAGTATCTAAGCTACTTCCTCTAACCGGTGAATGTTAGACACCTGACCCCAAGGAATAGCACATTGTTTCTCACCTCCTTTCTTTCAGCCATTTCCCAGCTTTGTTTGTGGTCCCAGCCCAGTCACCCAATCTTCTCAGGATTCCCTCACCAGACAGCCTGCTCTCAATCCCTCCTTCCTTCCTTCCTTGGCCAGTCTCTGCTCTCTGTTCCCCATCCAGCATCCTTCCTTACTTTCTAAGGGCTTCCCGTTCAGGTCGCCCTGTCCCAGTCAGCTTCCTTCTTCCTGACTGCCATGGTCACTCCCTTCTGGGGAAGGGGTGCAAGCACAGGGAGCTGTGGGCAAACTTGTTCTGGGTAGAGCCAGAATCAATGCACAGGACCTTCGGGGGGCACCTAGAGTGGGCACAGGAGGTGCCCTCTGATGGCGCAGCTGGACACCTGTGGCACAGCCTCTGCCACGGGTGTTCCAGTGACCTGCAGCACAGCTTACTTCTCCGGGCCTCTTCTGCAAAGTCAGGATATTGGACAATCTGACCTCGAAGTTTCTTCCCATGCTAATGTTCCCCAACTCTGGTATATACAAGGCGGAACCCGAAAAAACGGAATTTATTTATAAAAAATTGTGTAGTCATTCTTATATGTTTAAACCAGTCACCTTCAAAGTACTCTCCATTTGCTGCAATACCCCCATCAAGACTTTTTTTCCACTGCTCAAAGCACTTTTTGAACATGTGAATTTTAATGCCTCTTAGTGTTTCTGCTGTTTGTTTGTTTTTTTACTCCTTTCACATTGGCAGAATGTTTCCCTTTGAGGAATTTTTTCATCCAGGAAACAAAAAAAATGTCACTCAGGAAAAGATCAGATGGATAGGGAAGGTGTGGCACAAAGGTCATGCTGTTTTTGGTCAAAAACTGCTGAACACTGAGTGTGATGTGGGCAGATGTGCTCGTAAATCACCCATCCTGAAACGGGCAAACACGCTGAAAGAGTCTTCCAGAAAAATTCATTGAAGCCAAACACAGCCTCTGACAACACCACCAGCTAGTGCACTGGTACAGATAGGTGCCTAGAACACTCCTTAGGGGGAAAGCCTGTGCGACAAGGGGCCCGCCCTCCAGAAGAGAATCAGAAGATTATTCCAATTTTTGGGGGGTACCCCCTCATATAGCATGGGGCAAAAATAGGTTTACAGTTGTGAGTATACAAAACACAGAGTTTATTCTTGTTGTTTATTAATTACTGTATCATTGTCCATACAAACAACTGTAAACCTACTTTTTCCCCACCCTGTATAAAAAGACTCTCATCAAAAACTCCTTCATTTGAATTCATTGACAGGAGGCCTAAGTCCAGATTGTTAATATACAAAAGAAAGCAAACAGAGATGTAATATTGAATATTCTATAGTTTGCTTTTTACAAACTGGTGACAGAATGTTCAGAAAAGTCAGATGGCATATTAGTTCTGTGATGCTGAAGTTATGTTGGATAAATGATAAGAATAACTGTGTAGTACTTATTCATGTGAGAAATTCTTTGCCTTCTAATATTCCCTTTCCTGATTTAAAAAACGCCAGCACACAGTCTCTGTGCTCAGAGTCTCTTTCATTTGTATGCTTTTTACAACCTCTCTGCTATATTTATAAGAAAAGAAAAAAGGCTTTTATTTCTCTCCTTCTCTTGGAACAAAATGCCTTTGGTCAAGAGGGCTGTCTTTGGCAGCAGGGAAAGGGCTTCTTGGAAGGAAGGTTTTGGTTCCATGGTCAAAACCATCACCATGGCAATCAGTCGCCAAGGCTCCAGCAACTTTTCATAGATACTTTGCACTTAGGAGGCCCTTTTCCATCCCATTGACAGAGTCTTTGCATCTGTGAGCAAGAGTTCTCTTCTTATGGTGACACACACCCATCCAATTAGGGACAAGTCCAGATGTCATATTACATTCCAAGATTAAATTGTTAATCTGGTGAAGAATGGACTTACTATTTTTATAAGACATAAATCTTATATTTTAAATTATTATGGTAGATATTACACCTAAAACTTTGAATAGGGTCTGCTTTATGTATTCTCTATGAAGTGCGGCTGGGGACAAGAGATCCTCTGCCTACTCACTAATTCAAGTAATACCTCCCATTTCACTAATACTTATTCCCTTAGGTGAGATCAATTCATTTTCCCCCATATGAAGCTGTTTTCCCAGTTTCTTCCTTTAACCCTGACTGATCTTTCAAGTTCCACTCTTGAATGGCCAGCGATCTCTGAATCATCTTGAGATGAAGCTGGCACCTGGAGCCCCGTCTTTGCAAAACCACACTCACTCCACCCCTGTCCCTCGTCCTGAGCCCACCGGCTTGCCCTTTTTTAATCTTCTAACTCTGCTTAAAACTTTAGAATTACAAAGATAAATTTAAAATACAAGTTTATACATCTTTAGAGTTACTATTAGAAATAAAAAAATGAGCTCTAAAAAGGGAAGATGATTTGTGGAAATCTCACAGTAGAACTGGGATAAAACCGAAGTTCCCTGACTCCCCATTTTAGTGTTCTTTTCTCTCTTACCAGAAAAAAAAAAATCTTTCATTTTACTCCTCTTACCTTACTCCTTAGCTTCTCCACAAGCACAATTCTTAGACAAACGATAGTCCTTAAAGCATTTTTTAAAAATAAATTGTTTATTGTGGAAATTTTAGAAAATACAAAGAAGCATGGAAAAGAGATAATCACTTACAATCTCACCATACAGAAAAAAACAGCTGCTAATATTTTAGCATCCAGTGTTTTCCTGATCATGCTTATTGAATCTTTTTCCTATATACAACTTATTTTCTTCTTTGAATATGCGTTGTTCGAAAAAATACAAAAATGAGAATCAAGAGACTTGCAGCTCTGAGGCTAACCAGTGATGTGACCTTTGACCAAGTGCCTTACTTGCATCCTCAGTTTCCTCAAGTGGTTAATTAAGAGCTTGGACTGATGGCTTCTATCTCTTCAGCTCTACTGAGATTAACCATCAAGCGGGTAAAGAGTTAGTATAGATGACTCAACTGTCTCTTCCCCCTTAAAATTCAGAAATTGCCATGCATACATGGTCGCGGAGCTCCAACTTGGAAAATTAAAGCCTGCTAAGGAATATGGCCTTTTCTTAAAGAATCTTATCTATTTATTTACTCCATTTTCTAATCTCTAATGATTGTAGCCACAAGCCCGGCAAAGAAGAATCGTCATCTGGGTCCTCCCATGCAGTGATGGATATCTCTTTGCCCACTGGAATCGAAGCAAACACAGAAGACTTAAGAGCTGTAAATTTTTTCAGTATTGTTATGAATTCTTGGTTTTCTTTATGGCATTGTTTTAGAAAGATATTTCTCTCTTTCTAATATGTCACTTTCATAGAATCACCCAGAATATTCTTTCCAAACCAACAATCTACTTAAATTTTGATTTTCCAGTGAACTTGGTGCTGGTGTAAATGGGTTCTTGGAGTGTCATGAGAAAGGAATTTCAAAGGGCACAGGCACAGGAGAAGTTTAAGTGTAGTGGCAAAATTTATTGGGGTGAAGGGAGCTAATACACCCTCGGGGATGTAGAAAGTGGGCAAGCCAGTAGCAACTGCTCTGAGATCCTTGATAATCCTCCATATATTTTCTTGGTTTTCGGAAATGAGCAGGCTTTCTTTCAAACTATCCCACCGACTTCCTGGTTTTCCCAGGGTTAGGGTTGTGCTGGGCCCTCCCCCTAACCAATCCCTTTCCTGGTTCATCTGGGGTTTCATGCCCATATCCAACCTGATTTTTTCCCCAGATTTTCCTAGGCTAAATTCTGCCCCTTGATGTCACCCTTTTGGCTCTGATTCTCATGCTCCAAAGTTCTGCTGCATCATCTGCCTTCTACTGCACATGTGCTTACCTCCACCTGCGCCATTTTGGCTTCTACTGCTCGTGTGCCCAGCAAAGGAATTTCCCCTGCTGTTTTTATCCCTCCCTCTGTAATCCCAGCTAATTGTAGCTAATGACTGGTAGGCAATTTTTCCTGGCCACTTTGGGGATTAAGTCCCCAAATGGAGGAGGATGTAGCAGGCCCCTAGGGAGCCTGTGAATGTTATGGCACCCTAGTAAATCAGGCTTGACATTCCATTCAACTCCCTAGTGAATCAGGTTTAATGTCCAATTCTACTTGCTCCCTTTCTTAACTTCCTAGCTACATACACTAACAAAGTGAGGGCATGTATTTCCATGGCACAAACACTGTGAGCGCATGTGATAACAAGTTCCAACTTTTCAAAGAGAAGGAGCTGCTCTTCAACTTCTTTGAATAGTGGCTTATATCCCCATGATCTAACCTCTCATTGGGTGAGTACCTTTAAACAAAAAGGTCATAAAATTAAACGCAAGCTTTTTTCTTTTCTCCTTCAGCTTACAGAAGGAGTGGATCAACTATTAACTGATTACCAAATCAAAGATGGACATGTTATTCTGCAACTTAATTCAGTAGGTTCTACTTCCCATAATTCTTTATTTACTATTACTATTCAAAAAGTACATGCTGAAATATTATCAGTCCCTTCTCTCACATAATTTCCTTAAACCTTGAATTTGCCAAACAGATTCCTTCCAATGATTTCCTCTGTGTTCGATTTCGGATCATTGAATCTTTTCAAGTTGGGTTTCTGAATCCTGCTACTTTCACAGTGTATGAATACCACAGACCAGGTAACCAACTCTGCTCTGAAATTTCTTCAGAGGACTATTTTGTATTTGTTACAGAACCTTTAGAAATCCACTAGAGGCCTGTGAAATGTATGTATTGCCTCTTCCAGGCTCACTCTTCACAAAAGTTCCAACTTGGACATATAAACTATAGCAGAACTTTGAGCAAATCATTTCATCTCTCTGGTCCTCAGTTTCTTTGATTTTTAAAATAACTCAGATTGCGCCCAGATTTCAAATTCTTTGCCTCAAGTTTATCTTTGGTGCTTATTTTTATTGCACTTCTCCTTTTTAGAGAAGCCCACTTAGTCTCCAACTTCTTTAATCCTCCCAGAATCAACTTCTACTCCATCTACATCCTCATCAAATTTGCAGAGAGCTCTATCAGGGTAGTTGTTACACTCACATTGCATTGTAGTTATTTGTTTGTATGTCTTTCTTAGCAACCCCAGAAAGAACATTGCCATCCATTGTGTCCCTAATATCTAACACAGTGCCAGGCACATAATGTATACTGATAAATGTTGAATGAATGACCCAAATTTAATCATCCTGCTACTTCTAAGAATATTAAGTGATTGGAGAGCTCCCTGGTTCACAAGACAGAAAACTCCACTTTGGACAGTTCTAGTTCTTAGAAAATTCCTAGAATGAACCAAACTCTGACACCCATTCATTCTAGTTTTAACTTCTGAAATCACATAGAACACACTTAACCCCTCTCTCTCTCGAAAGAGAAAATACATGTGTGCACATGCACACACACACTTCTTTTCTTCTCCAGTCTGGACAGTTACAATTCTTTTAATAAACTCTCATGTAACATTAATTTATTTCCTCTCATTCATGGAAGCACCGAATATTTTCATTTTAAGAAATGAATGTTGAACAGCAAAATTTCAAGCACAGAAGGGAAGATCTTTTGGAGGATAGAAGGGCCCATGCCAGGACAAGCAATTCAACATTTAACCTCCATGGGCCCTTCATACAGAAAGAAGGGTTTGGAGGTGATGATCTCTAAGACCCCATGGGCAAGATTCATGGAGTGGTAAATGTATTGTGTGTTGCTCTAGTCCCCTCTCCTAACCGTGCTTTCGTTGCCACAGATAAAAAGTGCACCATGTTTTATAGCACATCCAATAGCCAACTTCAGAAAGTCTGTGAAGGAACAACGTGCAAATGTGTAGAAGGTAAACTTTTTTAAAAACATGTTTAGGCTGCATGCTTGTTTTAAAGTAACCACCCATAATCCGGAGCTGATCTGGGGAAAGCTGTGTGACAAACTGTTGTATCTCAGAAGGAGAAATGTAGTCTCAGCTGATTGAAAGCTGATTCCTTGAGCACTGTGAAACTACACCTCAATAACTCCTGAACAGCCTGATATTTTTCACCATACAAAGGTGGAGAAACACTATCCAGATGCTGTTGGCTGTCAGAGGGATAACATAATGTGAAATTCTTACTTTTCACTTAGTCTTTCTTATGTAATAGGACTACAACCAAAGAGAAGAGGCTCCTTTTTCTTTCCCCTTGTCCTTCACAGTTAGTGGATTCTCCATTCGGTCTTTACACAGCCAAGGCAGCCTTCTTGGCCAAGGAAAAAACCCAGACCTCACAAATAATTGACTGATTTCTTGAGGGTCTGGGTTGGTTTGGTTTTATTTTGTTTTTCCAAATTCTTAATATCTGCATATTTCTTAGGTATTTGTCGCATCACTTTATAACTGTAAATCAGTGAAGTTATCATTTTGTTCCTTCAAGGGACTTCTGATTATATTTAAAATGGGAAATTTTCCTTCATTCTTCATGGAAACATGTACGTTTCTAAAAAGCTGACTGTGGAGTAGACTCTCATGCTGAGAATAAGTGTCATGTTCAAGATTTTGTTTTTATTTGTTTTGTTTTGTTTTTGCTTTATATAATGGTTCACTTTATGGAAGAGGAGAAAATAGACAGGTCTTAGGAATCTAGTATTTATAAGATTATATTAGACTGTCTCTTAGTCCATGAGCACTGTGTTTACTCCCATACAGAGTATGCTTCCTTATATTAACCTTTTACCATTTTTCACAAAATCCAGCTGACTGTGGACAAATGCAGCCAGAACTGGATCTGACAATCTCTGCAGATAAAAGAAAAAACACAGCATGTGAACCAGAGATTGCATACGGTAAGTTCAAAAGTTCAAATATAGTTCCATTAAACATGACATTTTATGAATACATAATCAGGAAGGTCAATAACTTTATGTAGTGATTGTATGGATAAAACAGTCCATGTATTCCTTTGAAGGAAAATGCTATCAGTTTTCAGCATTAGCACACAAAATTATTTATCCTTCAACAAGAAATGAGATTTTCATTAAAAATGGTGGAAGTGATATGCACACCCAGCCAAGATACTTACTCCAGTAGATCCCATTGAATTAAAGCCTCTAAAATATATTTAAAGAGAAATTTTGAGAAGCCACAAGATGGAAGATTTTACTAATAACTGTTTCTTCCAGTCAGTGGAGCAGAGGCAGAGACAAAGGTGTTTTAGGGTTTGTTTGTTTTTTTTAAGTCTTTTCAAAGACACAGTAAAAATATTAATACTAAATAATTTTTAATATATGTAGAATTTCAGTCCATGTTTGAGACTCTCCATTTCAAAAGGATCATCTCCTTCTGGTTGTCCAGAGCTCAGCACTAAATTAAATGCCCAAGTACAGTTGTTATCTTATCCCAAGTTCCTCATAGAATTAGCCCCTTTATTTTCTATCCATAGTTCCTAATGTTCATCTCTGGATTTTTTTAAGAGAGAGGGAGAACATATTGTACAGTATCTCAATTTTTTTTCTTGATAATTGGTAGGACATTATTCATAAATAAAAAGTCAGTACAGTTGATTTGGCATTACGTGTTTACCAACTGCTCTCATATAGTTTCTCACTGGAGTCCCATAAGACACCTTTGAGGTAACAGAGGACCATCCTTATTTTACCAGGGAAGAAACTGAGGCTCAGGGAAATGAAATAATTTTCTCAACCATGCAGGAAGTAAGTAGTAGAACTTGGAGCCACTAAGATTTTCATTATATTACACTAAATTCTCTTAGAGGAAATAAAGCCATCAGAATGAATTTTGTGGGCTTATACTCTTTCTTTCTTTTTAATTCATCTTGATTTTTTAAAAAACTAGAAAGTAGGCCAACTCAGTCAAGACCCACTGTAGTTTTTGAAGTACATTGAGGTCTGAAGAAAATACTGTATTGCTTTAGCAAACAAAAATTTCATTAAATTATTTTTTCCTTCCATTTTAGAACTATTTAAACTCTTAAATGTTAGAAATCTATTTAACACAGAGAATAAATGCAAGCTGGGTTTAGTTTATTATATTAAAAAAAATTAGCAGGTTTTTCAGGAGACCCATAGGTTTTTATTGGAATAATGGAATAGAAACAAAATAGTTTCCTCTCTCCACCTATACCCAGAGTAGGTACATTGATCATATCCACTGTAAAGATTTATGAATCTAAAATTCAGAACACTTTTAGTCTATTTTAAGCCACTAATTTACACTGCCTTTTTTGTTTGTTTGTTTTGCCACAATGAGTTCATTCATTCATCTATTATGTCTTTTCTTGAAAGTAATAAACTAAATCCAGATTGCATTTATTCTCTGGGTTAAAATAGGTTTCTGATATCTAGCTAGCTTGCTAGGATCTGAAAAATGTACAAACATTTTAGGTTATTCAACCCCATCCAAAACAAAAATAAAAGGATCTTTTCTCAGGCCACATGGAAGGGATGGGTCCCTTCAAGCTGGTCATTCCAGAACTGAGGTCAAACACACTGTGGTTGCCTGAATAAAGAGAGGCAGCACTGGGAGTGGCTCATGTCAGACAGGTGCCAATCCAAGCAAAGTCAGAAATCAGAACACTGTGAGAAACCATAGACCAAAGTCAGCGGAGGTGTCCAAGGAATGGAAGCAAGAGAACAAGGAGTCTCACAGGGCCTGTGAGACAGACGAAGGCCCCACTGTGGTTGTGCAGAGAAGGGAGAGGCTCTTCAAAGTGCTCCGTGGGCATGATCTACTAATCTTACAGGACCAGGATCTGAACTTTATATCTAACAAAGCCTCATTTTGTTTGTTTTGTGTGTTTCTGTCTTTTAATCTAAGATTGTCCTTATCCTAGACAGTTTGTTTAGTAACAGAGGCCAGGGCTAATGATTCGAAGGGGAATGAAGTATTAGAGTAATGATCAGTGGACTCAGACTGAGAGTATCTGGGAAGGCTTCTTGGAAGAAGTAGTAAGTTCTACCTCAGGAAGCCTGTAAGAGCTTGCCATGCTTCCTTCCTCATTCGTTTGACAAACTCTGGCTTCCATGGGACATGACATCAGTGGTATTTAGCATGAACTGTTGTTTTCTTTTTTTACCAGCTTATAAAGTTCGTATCACATCCTTCACTGAAGAAAATGTTTTTGTCAAGTACACAGCAACCCTCCTGGATGTCTACAAAGCTGGTGAGAATTCACTCATTCATTTTTCCATTCAACAAATACTTAGTACTTACTATGTGCCAGGCATTTTATTAGACACAGAGGATGCAACTTGAACAACATAGCCAGAGTTACTGTCTTCATAAAGTTTATATTCTATGTAAGAAGACACACTTTTAAAGAAAGGAAATGGGCAAATAAATTAAACAGCTATAAAAATAAAACTGCCCTGTTTATAAAGTATGTTAAGAAATATTTACATACTTTGTTATTTCTTCATTCTGGGTATTCATTCTTAATATATGTAAAATTTAAAGTTACACAAATATCGAAACACACCCTCATCAACTTACACAAGAATTGTGAACTATGTAGTTCAAGGATAACAAATTGGCATTTATTCTAAAACACAGTGTGCTTAGAGTAGGTGTGGATATAAATGATAAAAAGATTAGTGATTGCTGAAGCTGAAGTAATTAACTAGCCTGTCTTCACCCAAATATGCTTGAAATTTTCTATTAAAAAATGTTTTAAAAAATAATGGTAAGACACCACACAGCCATGCTGCTACCCATGCTGGGGCCAAGTGCTGAGAATGTTGCTTACATGTTGCTGCAACAGGAAGTCATATATTAATGGTGATCCAAAAAAAAACCCCAGGAAAATGAGCTCGAAGTAATGTATGTACACTAGAATTTGTATTACCAATGAAATTGATTGTTTACATAGTTACTGTTGTATACTATTTACCAACATGTTCAGAAGTTTTTTCAGGATTTAATAATTAGGGCGACTCTGCCAGGGTTTGATAATTCCCCAACTCTGTTGTTTTTAGCTACCAACTACTTTTTAATTTTGCTATATGACATCTGGAGATAAATATTGTTCAACTATGGAGAGGTTCTTTTAATTCCTGTTTCTACAAGAATAATAATAAGCAGATATAGAGTACTTACTTTATATATGGAATTATATATATAATATATGTATATATTTTCATATATCAACCCACGTAATCTTACAACAGTTCTACAAGGTAGGTTTTATTGTCATGCCTGTATTTCAGGTGAGGGGGCTGAGCCCTTACACAAAGAGCATAAATCATTTTTCCCGGGCCGCACAGCCAGAAAGTGGCAGAGCGGGAATATAACCCAGGCACCCAAGCAACATTGTTGCTCTCCAGTGGCCATTGGCCTCTCAATATAAACTTACACTCACTAATAAATAGCCATGGGGGCTGGAATGCTCAAGAGAGTTTATAATGGTGACAGTGTAACATGAATGTGGTAACTTTACTTGTATGTCTCTCAGGCGAAGCTGCTGCTGAGAAAGACTCTGAAATCACCTTCATTAGAAAGGTAACCTGTGTTAATGCTGACCTGAAAAAAGGAAGACAGTATCTAATTATGGGTAAAGAAGCTCTCCAGATAAAACTCAATTTCAGTTTCAAGTAAGTCACCGATATTTGGGAGGCTCTGCTCTTCCCTCCAAAATTGAGTGTAATTTATTCTTAAATACACTACCTGTTTCTTATATGCCCTGCTGTTAACCAACAAACCATTAGGAGCATAACTGAAATAATATGAGTTTAAAACAAAGCACTATTTAAAACCACTAGGGCAGCTGAGGACTTGCTGACACATAAACAGAGTGCCTAGGACTGAAGATGAATCTGAGGGTGCTCCTCCGGACCCCTAAAGTCACATACGCTCACTCATTAAGTTCTCAGGCTACTCTGTAAAGAGAAAAGTGTTTAAATATGCATTTTATTATCATTTTAAAAAAAATAGACATTGAAACAGATGATGTTCCTGCTTTTAACTGTGGGAGCCCCCGCAGCTTCATGAGCATCAGGGGCCTGAGGACCTTCCCACAGGGAGGCCGGTCCAGGCAAGTCTGGCTGGCAGCCTGACCCTGGGGACCGGTCAGCCTGAGCTCCGTGGAGGTCGGCCCTCCGCTGTTTGCGGGCACCCTCACAAACGCTTCATTTTTGTTTTTTCTTGGCAGGTACATCTACCCTTTAGATTCCTCCACCTGGATTGAGTATTGGCCTACAGATACAACATGTCCATCGTGCCAGGCATTTTTAAATAATTTAGATGAGTTTGCTGAAGATATCTTTTTAAATGGCTGCGAAAATGCCTGAAAAATCTCATCTACGTACAGTTTTCAGTTTGGACTTCTGTTGTTGAAGTTTCTTTCTTCCCTTTTTTTTTTTAAAAAAAAAAAACATCCACAGCTGGTCTTGTTTGGAAAGCTCCCTTTACTTAGAATTAGTGGCACTTGCTTTTATTAAAGAACAATTTTAAGAGCTATAACTTTCTGAAATAACATGGCCTTGGGGGGCACGGAGACAGATACTCATTCCAAGGTCATTGGACACCAGAAGCAATAAACGGACCATCTAAAACCTACCTCTCAGGAATGTTTGCTGGGGACAAAAGAATAGCCTATTGAAATGTAGTATCTTACAAAAACATGGCCTCTGCCTAAAAGAAAATAACAAGGAACAGAAAACTGATCATTAAAGACTGACTTTGCTTTCAAAATGTGCGGAAAAGTGGCAAAGAATGTTAATTTATGCTAGGTCAGCCTCACCCACACAAAGACGGGCAAATTGAGAGAGGTGGAGAAGGCAGCAGTAGAGACGTGAGAAGGCCTAACCTCAGAGCCCTTGGCAAACTGAGAAGGTGGGAGAGTTCCTCCTTGCCCTTCCCCTTCAGTTGCCCTTGCCTCACCCCCTTGGGGGTCCCTCTACTCCCTTCCTCACCCTTCCAGAGCATATTGGTTTCCCCAGGGACTCACTCCTGCCAATAATTGCTCTAGGGGAAGGCAAGCCCCAGTGTAGCAACCTGGCGAAAAGAAACTGTAGTCATCAGGAGACCCTTGTTCTAGTAGGTGTCTGAGCCTCAGTGTGAGCTTTATAAAAGAGAACTTATAACAGGAGGTTCATCATTAAATGAGAGTTTGAGCACATTAGAGCTTTCACATATATTCCCATTTAATGTCTCCAGAATCTCACAAGGTACAGGAATTGTAATTTTCCCCATTTGACAGATGAGAACTTGGAGGCTCAGGAAGATGAAGCAATGTTCCCAGCCCAGTAAGGGGCAGAGGCAGTGACCACTCCTCAAGGCTCCCTCTCAGTCTAAATGCAAACCCCTTCCACATCACTGCACCATCACATTGCTTGTCAGGTTTCATTTTCTAAGACTAAAGCAGAATGCAGTTGGGAGTTTCTTGGATATGTATAGTTTAACCAGCCCCACTGAAATAGCACATAGGAATATGGAGCTAAACTCTGGCTATAACAGTAACGGTGACTAAAACACACCCTCATTTTGAAAAATCTGCATTTTTACCAGTTAGTTAAAACTACAGGAAGCCTTGCAATGTGCCTTGTAACTAATACTAAGATTTTCCACTTCCGGGAATTAAGGGTTTATTATTTTTTTAATGTCAAAGCTCACATTGTAGGCACTCCCTTGGCAAAAACAACTAACGTGTCCAATATGCCCGAACTCTCTGCCGTCAGGGGTTGAGGGTCCTCCAGAGCAGGCCTGACGAGTCTCCTGCCACCTTCTTTCTGAGGCGGGGTTGGGGGAGGGTCCACTGCGCGCTCCAGAGGCACCAGGGTCTCCCAGCTGTTGTGTTGCCTTCTCTCTGCAGCCCATAGGTTGGGCCACAGTGGCCTCATTTGCAATGCAGCTGAGCTTTCAAACGTCAAACGGGCCTTCCCGAGTTAGCCTGGCACCAGCTAGAAACCTGCCAGCCCCCTCTTCTGCCAGCACCTCTTCAGCACCTCTTCAGCTAATTCCTGTGCATTTGAACATACTTCCTCAGGGAGGCTTCGTGTCCCTCCAGACAGGCGGGGGCCTTATTCAATCCTGCACTCCTGGTCCAAGGCACTTGCAATTCTTTCCTTAATCATGTGTATTGTATAATGTGTAGCTTCCTGGCTCCACTGTAAGCTCCACCTGGGCAAAGTCTGGGTCTGTTCTATCTGCCACTCTCTCCTGTGCCTGGCACAATGCTAGAAACATTATAGGGACTCAGTGTTCATGGATTCCCCACTGAGTGTGGACATCAGGAGACCCAAGTTCTAGTCTTGGTTTTGCCCCTGGCAGGGATTTGGGACAAGCCTCTTCATCTCTTCAGTAGCTGACAAAACAAGGGAGTTGAACTGTCTGATATTATTTTTATCATAGCGCTAAGAAAATCTTTTATAATCTTATGTTGTTTGAGACAGAAAACAAAACTACATGGGATGTAAGCATCCAAATGTTGGGAATGGATTTCTTTCCGTAAGTGTGAAGGGAGCTCAGAGAAATGAGTGAGTGAGTGAGCTGGAGGAGCTTCTGGAGGTTCCCTGAAGAAAAATGGGCAGGCTTCGGACAGCAGGGTCTTTGTGGTTAAAAGGAAAAGCATAAGGCAGGTTTCTGCTGGGAATAAGGAGTATGATTTAGGTGGTACAGATGAACACTGTTCATTATTTTAAATTTTTATTGATTTTTAGGGAGAGAGAGAGAAACATCGATTTGTTCTTCCACTTATGCACTCATTGGTTGCTTCTTGTATGAGCCCTGACCAGGGATCAAACCTGCAACCTTGATGTATCAGGATGACACACCAACTGACTGAACCATCCAGCGGGTGCACTATGTTTATTTTAATATATGTAGACAGCTCCTGGATTACGATGGTTTGACTTACAATTTTTCAACTTTACAACAGTGCAAAAGTGATACTTCGAATGTTGATCTTTTCCCAGACTAGTGATATGTGGTATTATACTTTCTCATGACGCTGGACATCAGCAGCAAGCTGCAGCTCCGTCGGCCGTGTGATCACACAGTTAACAACTGATACTACACGGCGCACTGTGTTGCCTGAGCTTTTTAGATACTGTGTTCTGAGCATGGTTAAGATAGGCTAGGCTAAGTAAACCATGATATTTAGTAGATTAGGTATATTCACTGCCTTTTTGACTTACGATATTTTCAACTTACGATGGGTTTATCAAGACATAACCCCATCATAACTCAAGCAGCATCTGTATTTGGAAAAAAAAATAAAAGCACATAAAACCAAGATAAACAATTTTCTTTTAAAATAATTTTATTTGTTAAAAAGTAAGTCTAGTTAAGGAAAAGTCTACTCAAGTAAATAAAAGTATAGGATGTTCTCAGGGCAAAAATCATGAGGTTGGCATACACATGACTGAAGTTCAGGAAACTCAGCTTTATGAAAACAATGTGGGACTGACAACGAGCCACGCTGAGACAGGCGGCCTCACTCTCTGATTCTTAGTGAGGGGTCCCGAGCCAGCCAGCCTTGCCTTCCAGCTCCGCCTTCCAGCCCCTATGGTGCTAATTCATTTAGCAACACTCAACAAACATGTATTGATTGGTAATTGTAGGCCACACTCAATTCTAGATGTTTGGTTCCTAGATCCTTGTCCTATGGAGTTTAGATTCCAGCTGAAGGAGACATGCAATAAACGGTAAAGATAATAATTAGGGGATTGACCTTGAATGCTAGAAGGTGAGCAGAGCTATGGGGAAAAGAAAATGCAAAGCAAACTAAGGGAGATTAGGAGTGGTCGAGGGCGGGGTTACATGGTAAATAGGGCGGTCAGGTCAGGTGGGCTCCAATGGGAAGATGAGAGTCAAGCAAGGACTAGGAGGCAGAGAAAGAGCAAGCCATGTGGCCGTCTGAGGGACAAGTGTTCCGGGCTCAGGGAGCATCTGGTGCCAAGACAAAAGCAGGGGCATGTCTGGTGTGTTACAGGAAAAGCAAGGAGGCTGTGCGGCAGGTGCAGAGTGAGCAAAGGGGAAGGTAGGTAAGAAGAGGCCAGAGAGGCTACAGGGACCAGATGATGCAGGTCATGGAAGGGGTGTTGCTGGCTTTGCTCTGCAGGAAGGGGGAGCCATTGCAAGGTTTTGAGCAGAGGAGTGAGAGGGTCCATGTTACCTTTTAAAAGGATTACTTTAGCCCTGGCTGGTGTAGCTAAGTAGATTGAGCGCCAGCCTGTGAATCAAAGGATTGCCAGTTTGATTCCCAGTTAGGGTACATGCCTGCGTTGCAGGCAAGGTCCCCAGTAGGGGGCACTTGAGAGGCAACCACACGCTGATGTTTCTCTCTTTCTCCCTTCCCTCCTTTAAAAAATAAATAAACAAAAACTATTTTAAAAAAATAAAATAATTACTTTAACTGCTACATTGAAAATAAAGCCTCGGGTAGTAATAGACCAGTAAGGAGGCTGCTGCAGTAAACCAGGCAAGACAGGATGGTAACTCTGCAGTGAAAGAGAACACACACCATGAAAACCATGAGCTTCTCAGGAAAAAGGTGTTAGAAAGGACTTATTAAAGTATTTTAGGGAGGGTTCAAGAAAGTGGGGCTTTGCTCTGGATTGGATGCTGTCAGCAGGGCTAATCCTATAAGTAGCTTAATTCTCACCCAGCCAGAAGGAAAAGAAACAGCAGTCACTCCTCACATTAGGCAGGAAAGGGAGGTATTCAGTCACTTTTGTGGTTTGGATAATGTTTTGTTTTATTCTCTTCCTCAAACATGATTATGGAGAAGTCTTTTTTGGGAGGGGTGGGGGGCTTGATTCATTTTTTTCCGGTGTTGGTGTCCTGTGACATCAGACGCAGAGAACACCACAGCCTGGGTTTGAACGCCAGGCCAGCTCCTGGGGACACCACAGCCCAGCTTCCAGTCCAGCTGCCAGCTGTCAAGGGCTGCTCTTCCCTTTCACACACCCATTTTCCTAAGAAATGCACCAATGCACACAATGCCCAGACTTGCATACTATTTCCAAGGCCTCTGTGAAAGCCCACACATGACCACATGACTGAACACCTCCTGCTTCAAGAGCTGGGAATCAAGCAGCCAAATCTGGGAGGTGCTCAGAGACACAAAGCGTCCGGGTGGTGTTCCAGGGGCTTTCCCCACTCCCCAAAACAGATCGATTCTGCATGTTTAATGTGATGTGAGAAAACTGTTGCCAGGGCCATGATATTTAACTTTGGTTGGGAGATTATAACTTTCCTGCAGGCCTCTGAATCAGAAAGGAGGGAAGGCAGGAAGTGAGGAGGATGAAGGGAAAGAATGAAGGAGAGAGGGCGGGAGAGGAGAAGAAAGAAAAGGGGGAAATGGGGAAAGGGAGGGGGGTGTGTTTTAAGACAAGATGAGAGCTCCATTTCTGAGAAGCTCCTAGATTCTTGTCAGCTGGCAGGTCCCCCACCCTGACTGACATGTTAGCAGAAATGGATCTGTTCCTTAGAACACAGCGTCCACTCTCTCACTGTCTCCGTCATTGTAATCAGATATGTGTGTCTTACAGCCACCGTGATGAATTATATAATCCCAAAATGTCCAACCCAGGAAGAATCTAGAGCTCAACTCCTCCAGTCCCTTCACTTTCACCTTCGAAAACTGTGGCCCAGAGGAGCAGTGTGCCAGTGGTCCCAGCACTGTTAGGCGCAAGGACAGGGACACTAGCCCAAGGCCTCTGACAGCCCAGTGCCCTTTCCACTA